GAACCCCACTTTGGCGCAAACGTTCCGCACGCTCGCGAAGGAGGGCAAGAAGGGCTTCTACACGGGCCGCATCGCCGAGGAGCTGGTCAAGGTCGTCAAGGACCTGGGCGGCCACCTCGAGCTCGACGACTTGGCCAACCACCTGGAGCTTGGCAGCGAGCCCGTCGACCCCATCTCTCTCAAGTTTAAGCCCGTTCTCAAGAACCAGCAACAGGCCAACGGCAATGCCGACTTCGTCGACGCCGGCGTCGAGCTCTGGGAACACCCGCCCAACGGCCAGGGCATCGTCGCTCTTATGGCTCTTGGCATTATCCAGGAGCTGCAGGCCTCAGGAGCAGTTCCTGCCTGGTCCGCTGAGGACCACAACACGGCGCCCTACCTCCACGCCATCATCGAGGCTCTCCGTCTTGGCTTCACTGACGCAAGCTGGTATGTGACTGACCCCAACGTCGTCAACGTGCCCTCCGCCGGCCTCATCTCGCGCGAGTACCTCGCTCAGCGCGCAAAGCTGTTCGACCCCAGCAAGGCACTCAACAAGCTGCACCCCGGCGAGCCCCCCAAGTTCGTCTCTCCTGCGTTAAGCAGCAGCGACACCGTCTACTTCACCGTTTCAGACGCCCACGGCAACGCCGCATCATTCATCAACAGCAACTACGGCGGCTTCGGCACCTGCATCATCCCCAAGGGCTGCGGCTTCACTCTCCAGAACCGTGGCGCCAACTTCAGCCTCGACCCGGAGCATCCCAACAAGCTGGCGCCCCGCAAGCGCCCGTACCACACCATCATCCCGGGCATGGTGACAAACCAGGCCGACGGCTCGCTGCACAGCGCCTTCGGTGTTATGGGCGGCTTCATGCAGCCACAGGGTCACGTCCAAGTTCTTCTCGGCCAGATCGTCGCAGGACTCACGCCGCAGCAGACGCTCGATGCGCCGCGCGTGTGCATCGTTGCTGGTCTGCCCGAGAAGGACGCCGACTTTGACTGGACAGTCAGTGTCGAGGAGGGCATGCCCGAGGAGACTGTCGAGGGCCTGCGCAAGCTGGGACACAAGGTCGATGTCGTCACCGGCTCCGAAAGGGGTCTGTTTGGTCGTGGCCAGATTATCAGGTATCACGTCGACCCCATCGAGGGAACTGGCGTGTGGTCGGCGGGCAGCGACATGCGTGGCGACGGCGGAGCGTACCCGGCGCTGTAAGTGTTAATATGTAATGTGATGGAAAATGAAAGAACCCTGGACGAGTACCAGCAGTATGTGAATGTGCGCAAAATATGAATGGAGATTTTCCGGATATCGCAGATGAAACAAATACCACTCTATTTCCCGGGACCTGTTTCGCTTCGTGGCTGCCTTCCCTTGGTATTTTACAATCGTACAAAACATAAAAACGCTCTCCTCAAGCGTGGATGTCGAAGAATATCCTGCCTTTTACTCCTCCTTCTTCTCGCTCTCGGCCGCGACAAGAACCTTCTTCTCCTCGAGCAGCTTAGCGAGCTCGCCGTTCTGGTGCATGGAGACGAGGATGTCGCAGCCGCCGATGAACTCCTTCTCGACGTAGAGCTGGGGGATGGTCGGCCAGTCGGAGAACTCCTTAATTCCTGTGCGCCTATAGTCAGCATCCTATATTCCTTCCCATGTTCATATCTTGTGGTAGTCTGTGTGATTCGTACCTTGGCGCAGCTCGGGGTCGGCCAAGACGTTGAAGGCGGCGAACTTCTCGGGGTCGACGCCCTGGAGGCCCAGGATCTGGATGGAGGCGCGGGAGAAGCCGCACTGAGGGGTCTCGGGGGTGCCCTTCATGAAGAGGACGACGGGGGCGGCGCCGACAGCGTTCTCGATCGCTTGCTTCGTCTCGTCGGAGAGGAGGCGGTGCTGGGTGAGGAAGGGGATGGGAGCGCGGAAGGCCAGCGGGCGAGCGGCGGGGCGGGCAGCTTGCCGCACGAAACTCTGCGATGTCGGGTCAGCGCCTATTGGTTCTTTGTGGTCGTCTCAATGGGGTTGAATGCGCAAGAAAGTAAACTTACTGAGCGGGCGAACGACCTGACAAACATGTTGGGCTGTGTGGTGGTGCGTTTGGCGGGGTGGTCAACCGGAAGCGATTGATGAGAAATGCGAAATTGTTATCGGATGGCAGAATGGGTGATGTAATAAGGTGTGCTCCTCGGTGAAGGAGCTTGGGCCATGACTCACCGAGCTCACCATTATGGCTGCGGGTCTCCGAAGTCGAATAGCCCAATCATTCGCTCGTCGTTGTCAGCCATCAACAGCTGCGCATCTTTCTCGCCTCGATGACGATTGAAGTCTTTTGCGACCTATGCTCTTCATTTGACTGATTTAATTATGTATGCCATTAGAAAGGGACGCTTGAGTTGCCGAGAATTCTGTCCAGACAACGGCGCGCAATCTACGAAGAGTGATGACTCTTGGACCTCTTGAGATGAGGCCAGCGCGGAGATGGCAACAGAGGAGCTCAAGAAGAACATGTCCGACAATGACTCAATGAGCAATTGAGTTGAGGTCTTGTGACGAAATTGTTGCTAGTAAACTAAAGATATGGCAAGTGATCATTGGTGTCAACAATCGCGGTAGTGAAAATGGGGGGTTCAAGCTAGGATCCAACGACCTCTAGGCTGCGGGAACCAGCCGATTTTCGACGATAACCTATGGTCATTTTGGGGCGCAATTCAATCGGTAATGGGGGTTGTTGGCGGACGCACGCCTGAATCGGTTTGTTCTTTCCCTATGCCACAGGCCCTTCAAATTGCCATGCAATTGGAGCGAGCAGTTCTCGGGTACCTTAAGGATCCTAATTCATCAATTGCGGTAGTCAGTTGGACTGTTCTCGCTGACAAATTTGACTCGTTTAGGCCTGTTAGAGACGCTGCGTTTCTCGATTTGGAAGGATATGTGACTGGAGCTCTGATTCAGGCAGGAGATCCCGAGCGTTGCGGTGTGCCGCCGATAACACCCGCCCGGCCGATCCGCTTCCGGGACGGCCATATCTCAACGCAGCCTCAATTGGTTCTCACCAACGTCTCTTAAATCATCTATCAGGGTAAGGCGCCATGCAGAAATCATTTCGCCGAATGAGTCACGGTGTTTCGATGAAAGGTGTCAAGATAGTGTCCGGGACTCAAACCTATCAGCAGCTAAATGGCGACGCTCACGGTGAATTCTTTTATAAGTCTGGGCTTCTTGGCATCATTCAATATGCAAGTTGCAGCATCTGTCCGATTCCATTCTTCCCAGCAACTAGCCAACTGAATCACCGCCAAAAATCGCCAACCTACGTTCGTCATGTCTACTGACAAAAGAATTCTCATCCTCGGAAGCGGCCTTGTTGCCAAACCCTGTGTTGATTACCTGCTTCGCGACGCAAGGAACAAGTTGACAATTGGTTCTTGACCTGTCCCGAGAAATGACCAAACCTCAAGCTGACTTGATAACTCTTAGCTTGTCGGACTCTCAGCACAGCCCAGATCCTTGCCGCAGACCATTCCCGGGCGACCACAATTGCTCTCGACGTTGCCTCTCCTGAACTGGACGCCCACGTTGCCGAACACGACGTGGTGATCTCTCTCGTGCCATTCACCTACCATCCAACGGTGATCAAGGCGGCAATCGGTGGCAAGACCCACGTCGTTACCACGAGCTACGTCTCGCCTGCGATACGAGAGCTGGAAGCCGAAGCCAAGGCAGCTGGCATCACGGTTCTCAACGAGGTTGGAGTTGATCCTGGAGTTGACCACTTGTACGCCATCAAAACCATTGATGAAGTGCATGCCAAGGGCGGAAAGGTGGGAATCTGCATTGGAGTCAGTTCCGGAGCACCCCTCTTGCTAATGTATTGCGCCAGGTCAAGGAGTTCTACTCGTACTGCGGCGGTCTGCCCGCTCCGGAGTGCGCCGATAACCCTCTTAAGTTCAAGTTCTCCTGGTCCCCGCGCGGAGCTCTCCTGTCGCAGTTCAACTCGGCATGCTTCCTCCAGGATGGCAAGGTGGTTGAGATCTCCAACCAACATCTCATGGCGCACGCGAAGCCGTACCACGTCATGGACGGGTACTCCTTTGTTGCGTATCCCAACCGCAACTCTGTTCCCTTCCGCGAGTTCTACAACATTCTCGAGGCGGAAACGGTCATCCGCGGGTCTTTGAGATATGCGGGTAACCCGGCTTTTGTGCTGGCGCTCATCAGAATGGGGTGGTTGAACACACAGCCCAAGGAATGGTTGGCCACTAAGAGTGAAGGGTTGACTTTGAAGGAGGTCTTGGGAAGGTGCATCGGCTCCAAAGACTTTGATGAAGAGTATGATGGCTCGTCTTTGTGTTATACTGGAGATGTTCGCTGACTTGAACAGGGCCTTGATCAATCGCGTCGATGAGCTTTGCGACTTCACCAGCAGCGCTGAGAGGGAGAGTATTATCGAAGGCTTGCGATGGATCGGTCTGTTCTCCGACAAGCCGGCTACTCTTCGAGGCAATCTTTTGGACACACTTTGCGCCGAACTCGAGAAGCTAATGAGCTTCCAGCCTGGGGAGAGGGACCTGGTGATGCTTCAGCACAAGTTTGTTGTTGAATGGAAGGATGGTTCCAAGGTAACGGGATCCCTGTCTTGTTCATTCATAGTGCGGCACTTAAAACTGACGGCGGCTTCTGAGTAGGACACAATCACTTCAACTCTGGAGCTTCTTGGAGAACCAAATGGGTACTCGGCGATGGCTAAGTCGGTTGGCGTAACTTGTGGCATCGCCACTCAGTTGCTACTCAACGGCGAGCCTGCGCTCAATGTCGCTGGAGTCTTAGCCCCCTACAAGGCGGAAATCTGCGATCCTATTCGTAAGGCAGTTGAGGTGGAGGGGATCGTGCTGGTTGAGAAGACGCTTTAAGGGGGACACGGTTTTCGGACCCTCTTCAGCTTAGCTCCGTCTTGAACAGATATAAAGCTCTTACCATGAGAGCGACGAGTTCGATATCAAATAATCTTGTGTTTTTGCTACCACCACTATTGTTTTTCTCCCAAACCAAACATCTTTACGCTATTTCTCCATGCAGCCTCCGCCACCTCCTCCACGGTGATTCCCTTCAACCCGGCAACCACGAAAGCAACTCTATCCATTGTACAGCTCTCATTGCGCCCCTTTACCATCAAGCTCAACTCAAACTTGTCTTTCTTCTTACTCTGAGGCAGACTAGGGGCGTTCGTAAGGTACTTTTTCGCAACCTCCGAGCCGGCAGGGATCTCCCCCCAAGGGGCATCCGTCTCGATCTGCAGCCGGTCCAATGGAATTTCTCGAACCATCTCCAAGCTTTCCCTATCCTGGAAGCTAAAGCCATTAACACTGACGTCGAAGCCCATCTCAACTAGTCCCTTCATCTGCTCCGCGCTCCCCACGAAGGAGTGCACAAGTCCTCGTCGGGGAAGGCTGGGGAGGTACGGCTTTATAACCTCCACAAAGTCATCATACGCTGCACGGCAGTGCAAAAAGAGCGGCAGATCAAGTTTTTCCGCAACGAAGAGGTTTAATTGGTGCTTGAACGTGCGGATCTGCGCTTCCTTCGAGGCGTGGTTGAGCCGGTCGTAGTCCAATCCCAGCTCACCGAAAGCGGCCAGCAGACTGGTACCACCAGACTTCGGGGCCAACGCATCACGGACTGTCTGCGCGAGCTTGGCAAAGTGGCCGTCCTCGCCGCCATCCGGCTCTGCATCCGGCTCTGCTGCGTGGTACGGATGGATGCCGATCGTGACGAAGCATGAACCCTCGGGGCGCGATTTTGCGATGGAGAGGTTAGTTGCGGCGTCGGAGAGGGACATGCCCGTCAGCATCACTTTGTCGACGCCCGAAGCGAGCGCGCGGTCGAGCACGGCATCGAAGTCTGGTTGATGGTACTGTTTGCCTCTGTAGATGCCCGCGAAGTCCTTTGCGGTGGCGGTAACTGCGACCTACTTGGATGATTAGTACAATTGAAAACAGATGCGTGCTAGCTGTAGGGTCTGCGCTCACATCAGCAAAACGGAGTTTCGTTGAAGGTTTAGATGGGGCTTGGGTAGGAAACCCAGCGAGGAGGTCGGATGCCATGCTTGCACTGCTTTACACTGTATCTTGACCTGTAGTTTGCCGAGTGCAACGTGACGAAATCTAAAAGAGGTTGGTGACCCAATTACATTACGTTAATGTGACAGAGGATCGTGTGTTGAGTTATTTGGCTCGACTGTGGCAGACTGGAAGTTCCCCCACGTTCCTTCCGCTTCGACGCTAGTGCAGTTCGACTTGGCAGCCCCGGTGTCGGCCGGGCCGGGCCCCGGGATCGGGATCGGTGCGGAGGCCCCGAAGTCTGGCCAACGTCGCATCAGATTCCGATTCGACTAAACGCGGTAAATTGACAAGAGGTGTTGATTCAAGGGCGTACTTGAACTCTTTTCTCAGCCCTATGGTGTACAGATTGAGTTTGCCGGTGGACATGGGTAACTCCTATGTACCCCACTTCGGGCTTTCGGCAGTCCTCATGAAGTAGGTAAACATCAAGACAAACCCTGAATAATAATGTGTCATCTTTTCATTACACGGAAGAGTAACCCTTTTGCCATACCGGGCGTATCAATCGGCTGTCACGACCGGTCTTCAAGCTCCTGCCCCTATCGTCAGAGTCTAGAGATAGCTGGGGATAGTAACGCATCGGATGGTAAGATTACTCATGTATAAACACTGAGACATTATGAGACGATGAATGCAGAACTGTCGAGTCGTAGACTAGGTGTAATGATTGACCACTCCTCTTCCATTTGGGGATCAAACACATGCTGTGCAAGGAGGCGACTTGGACGCAGTGTGAAGACTTCATTAGGGTCTTGAACTCATGACTATCTCATTAACAGTAATACCATAACCCACTGAAAACTTCTCATATCATTTGGGATGTCGTTCACGCCAGCTCCTTCTCAAGAGCATCCGCCATCTGTCCCAGCGTGTCAAACTTGAAGTCGTAAATCTCAACATCCCTGTTTCCCATAACCGCACCGGGTCGGACAATCCATGACGACTTGATACCCGCCTCCTTAGCCGGGTGATGGTCGTGAAACTGGCTCTGAGCCGTTTGCAACACCTGGTCCTTCTCCACACCAAATGTCTCCTTTACCTTCTGCAGCATGTAGCTGAAGTTGCGCTGGTCAGGCTTGTAAGACCCCACATCCTGCGCAGTCACCACAAGGTCAAAGGGCACATCCTGAAGCGGGCCGGCGTTGCTCTTTGCAAAAGACTCGCGGTCGACGTTGGACAGAACGACGAGCTTGTAGAACTTTTGAAGACGGCGCAGCGCGTCCACGGTGTCGGGGAACGCAGGCCAGTTGCCGACTGAGTCGCCAAAAGCCTTCGAAGCCTCGGACGTGGGGGCTGCGAGGCCAAGCTTCTCGGCAATCTGGGGATGAATGGTGGCCACGAGCTGGTAGTAAGGCATGTCCGGGGTCTTTGTCTGCTGCTTGGCCTCAAGCTCGTGGTAGACGTCCAGAAGGTGCTTGCGGGTGAAGTCTGTACGCTTGTTGTCGTCCAAAAGGGGTTGCAGGGCAGTGAGCATGCCACCTTCCCAGTCGATCAGAGTTCCGTAGACATCGAAGGTGAGAACGCGGAAGTCCTTCAAGCTAGCCATTGCGACTGATCGATGTGAATTTTCGTTATCAAGGTGAGAGTTTGATGAGAAATTAATGATAGCGATCTTGGCGAAATGCGGGGTTGATGGTACTGAATCTTAGCTTGAAGTTCGAGGGTGACTGTAACTCTTTTTAAGACAGGAAGAGAGGGTGAAGATGTTTCTGTGTTGTTGATTACTGATAATTCCGTTCGTTACATGTAGAATCAACCTTCACATTGTCCATGTCGGAAGCTTCAACGTCAATCCAAGGGCGTAGCACAGTCCCCACTTCGACCGGGTGGCGGCTTGCACCGGCCCGGGTGCGGCCGGAACCGGCATGTATCTTTTGAATCTCTCGGTGCTTGAAGATGCAGGACTCTCGATGCATTTGTGGTGCCAGTCCAACTCAACCACATTGTATTCGGCAACTGTTTGTTTTTCATTCCCTGTGGGCGAAGACATTAGCATGATCTTCCAGGTGAAAAGTCTGCAGTGGGATAATTCACAGGGCGTGACTTTGACCTGCCAACTCCTGCCTATGAAGCTTTCCCAAACCCTGCGTGTAAGACAGAAACGCAGATCTTTGTTTTTAATTTTACTACACTTGATGGCCGAGGACCAACAAACCTGATCTGCCAATGGACTGTCGGGACTTTCACATAGACGACTCTGCCTTAGTCTGCGAACGTCTTGTGTGGGACTTTTCATGACAACAGAAGTAACCAATACGATAAGTGCTTGGTGAAGAGCTCTGATGACCCGATTTCATCTTCTGCATCTAGGGCACAAGCGACCTCGTACTTAGACTCTGCCACTTTGGTGATCAATCTTACCAGAGCGTCAGCGTCCTGAAATGCATCAAAATCGGACAAAGAATTCTTTACAGTTTCAATTATAACGTTGCCGCCTTGAGCTTTCAACTGATAAGCCATGCACTGGAGCACACCCAAAGTTGTCTGGCTTTTCTGCTGTTTGAAATCGCAGAAATAACACAAAAGTAGTTTCTGATTTTTTCTTTTGTCGCTCTTTCAGGTCTTTGACCACAAGCCATGCGATGCCGGATTTCTCAATCCCCGGGGGACCATAACACCATATGAATGAGAAAGGAGGTTCAGGTCCCAGCCATTGTTCGTAGGTCTCCGATCATCGGCCAGTTTCAGGACAAGTTTCTGTTCTCTTCGAGATGTTAGGCTTAGGAAGAGCTGCTGAAAGCTGACTGCGCTTGTGATACAGTACCAAGGGGTCGACTTTCTTCAATGTCGATTTGGTCGTGACTAGAATGGTTTGATGATGCGAAACTATCGAACATGGCTCTATTCCGCTGGAAAATATCGATCTGTGCTCTCAGGTCATGCTCCTTGACTGGCCAAAAGTAGTCTTGAAACACTCAGTGCCGCTACTCCAGTGTCGGTTGAATAGTCCTCAGCTCATTCCCGCAAGTCGATACTAAACCTCGCAATTGAGCCTCGGCACCATCACCAGAAAGCATGGCAGGATTTTCCGCGCCAATGGCTTGCTTTAGATGTAGAAGCACCAAAACAAGAGCGTTGACCTCTCTTAGATGCACCTTCCGAGCGTAATCGGTATTCCGCACGCTAGAAATATAGCCGTAGCTCAGTTTTGTGATCTCGCACGTCACCTGTAAGAGACTGCCAATGCTAGCGACGGCGCCAAGACTGTCATCCCAACCCATTGTTAAATAAGGCCATGGGCGTAAATGATCTGGCGAGAGGGATATTGATAACTTTGGCCACAGAGAACTGAGTGAAAAGTCTCTTCCTCAGAAGAGGGGAGACCTGACGATGCACCCAATAGCAACTGCGGGTTGCAAGACGAGTTGAAGAGCCCTAGTCATATTAGGTACCCGAGAGAACACTTATCTAAGACACACATGACGAGAAGTGTCTATAGGGGCCCTTTGCTCCGGTCCCGCTCCGTGTGGTGATGCAGCCGAACCCCGGGGTTCCGAGGGCGAAGGCCGATCAGAATACGGACAGCCGGTCATGTCATCTTGAGTGCCTGCCGCTAATTCATCCTTCTGGTATTTACACCTGACTTAGTATGTTTCTTGAAGGTGACATGTTATGTAAATGATTGCTCTAGCAGACCCAGAAGATATAACATCAGAATGATCAGATGATTTAAATCATAGGCTTTCCAAGTCAAGTGGGCCGGCTTTCCTCACCGTCTCCCAAACCTGTCCTAAGGTGCTGGATCCACGCTTCATGAATTGGCCGACCCCTTTTGGCGCGACAATGCCTTCGCCATCCCGGTCCCAAACCACATTGCCTCTCAATATGGTGTATCTCGGCCAATTCCTCACACTTCGTCCTTCATAAGGCGTGTAGTCGACATCATGGTGAAGTAAGTCATTTGTAACTTGAAAGTCGCCGAGCTCTTCCTCCGGGTACCAAATGACCAAGTCCGCATCCGAGACACCAGGGATCATTGCTCCCTTTCGAGGATAGAGACCGTAGAGCTTAGCCGCATTGGTGGAGGACATTTCGACGAATTTTGTGAGAGCTAGCCTTTGTGCTGAGAACGCAAGAGGTAGTCGAGTCTCAACACCAGGCAGCCCGTTGGGTATATAGCGGAATTGACCCACGGGATGCTCAGCCGTGACGCAAGAGTTCTTACCCGCCACGGGGTCATCAAAACGAAATGGGCAGTGGTCAGAGCTGAGTACCGTGAAGGTACCGTTCGCGAGACCAGTCCAGATAGCGTCATGATCGGCACTCGTCCGTGGCGGTGGTGAGCACACACACTTTGCACCTTCGAAGCCAGGTTTGTCCAGGTCGTCCCTTGTCAAGAAGAGATACTGCGGGCAGGTCTCTGCAAAGATGGGTTGTCCGGTGGATTGAGCGATGCGGATGCGGGAGGAGGCAGAGGGATCACTGACGTGCACGAGCAGAATAGGTGTGTTGGCGATGAGGGATGAGAGAGCGATTGCGCGATTGGTAGCCTCAGCTTCGAGGATAGGCGGGCGCGAGTTTGCGTGGTACTTTGGCGCAAATTTGCCTTGTAACTCAAGTTGATCTGTGAGCCAGTTGAGAACATCACCATTTTCAGCATGGATCATGGTAAGAATCTCATTCTGACGCGCTTCTAGTAGAATGCTCAGAATTTGGTCGTCGCGGAGCTGGAGAGCCGTGTACGTCATGTAGATCTTGACGGAGGAAACTCCTTCCTCATTCTTGAGAGTCTTCAGCTCGGACAACACCTCGGGGCTGGTGTCTGAGATGATGACATGGAAGCCATAGTCTGTGTAACAATTTCCTGTTGCAAGCTTGTGGGTCGCATTGACCGCACTTACTAGGGAGTTGTCTTCACCCTTTCTCTGAGGCGCAAAGGCGACGACGGTTGTGTTGCCTCCAGCTGCAGCCGACCTGGTTCCAGTTTCCCAACTGTCAGCTGAGCGGCCGGTAGAACCTTTGAAATAAATTGCAGGTTCCTCAAGATGAACATGGCAGTCTATTCCCCCAGGCTAGTCGATTGCAATCGTGTTAGTGAAATGACTCGTTTTCTCAGAAAATTAATCGCACAGGTGAGAAAACTGACCATGACATAACCACCTCTGGCATCAATTATTCGTTTGGAATTCGCCTTAGACAGCGATCCGGATGGTGCCTGTAGCGCGATCTTCTCATCTTTGATGGCAAGATCCCATGCTGCAACATCGCTTGCTGTCACGCAAACACCATTGGTGATCACGAGGTCGAACTCATTCGTGGAAGACATATCAGGTGCACGGTTGAAACAGAAGATATTTCGCGAGTTTTTTTCTCCCGTGACCGTGGGAGCTGACACGAAGTTGTTTGGTCTTACGATTCTCATGTGCTCACAACCGGACGCGAGAAGGTGAGATCGCCGCTGCGGCCGATTTCCACTACCGGCCCCATCTTATCATCGGCCTTTGAAAGATAAGAGTCGGTATTAGGCCGACAGGCCGACACTCCGGGCAAGACTGTGTGATAACGACGGACGGGCAATGATAAGCGGCGACTGTGGTCCACCAATCATATGTTCCGGATTAGTCCACGGCATGATTAACACGGGGTACATTTATCTGCAGCGTCTTATCTCACTCGGGATGATCGAAGTTGCATTGGTGGAGAGAACCTGGGGTCATAGCATGGTGGTGTTCTGCGTGGAAAACGGGGTTTCCAGAGCCGTCAACGTCTGAATACTCTATAGATCCCCCCCTTTCACGCTCGGTATCAACACCGACAAGAGAAGGGGTAGCCAACGGATAGTCAAACTCAAAATCACACAGACGATGAGGTCAAATGCTACAAGTGAGTTGAGCTCTCAGTTATTCGTTGTGGAGACAAAAAGGCTGATGAAAGACTGACCTGCCTGCCAGCAAGACCAGCTTGCAGCACTTGCCACCATCGAAAGGTCAAATGCGACGCTCACGATGTTGGCATCCCATGTTCAAACTGTCAAGCAGGCTCTCGAGATGACTGTCGTCCTCATCAGAAACGCAAACGGGTATCTCGAGCAGCTACAGCTCGCCGTATTTCGCACTCTTCAGTTGAAGTTGAAGGGCAGCCACCTACTTCGCCAACGCTGACGGCCATTCCCTCAACGGCGGGCGGCATTACAACTGTTGCTGTTGAGAAAGGGGGCTCACCAACCTCGCCTGTAACAGAACAATCGGAAGGCCAGAGACCTGGTCAATCAACCCCTGGATCAATCGGTCTTGGTGTCACAGGAATCGACATCCACGCACAAGAAGATGGCGAATATCTTTACAAGCGACATCTGGTTGAGTTCATAGACCAGCCAGAGCTTGTCAAACGACCGATCGACAACAAAGCCCGTATGATCTACATTGGTACAGATGTTTCGAACGTCAACTATCTCGTCCAGCAGCAGTTTGGAGCTGCTGTTCACAAATCTGAGGTCTGCCATTACCCAACAAATCGCATCTCACGGCGTGCGGCGGGTCACGATCCGGTAGATCGACTGCCTCTGGACACATTTCAATTGCCACCAAAAGCTGCTGTAGACGAACTTCTGGAGGCCTATTTTCGACATGTCAACCCGGGGTTCCCCGTAGTTGATGAGCGTATCTTCATGGGCCAGTATCGAGCTAGGGATTCTTTGAATCCGCCTTCACTTCTACTTCTCTACGCTATTCTTCTTGTTGGTAGCCACGCCCTTTACGAAGAGGATTCCGAAAAGAGACATCTAGCCAAGGCAACTTATTTTCGTCGTGCCAAAAGCCTATTGGATGCTAGATTCGAATCAAATCGCGACACCATTGTCCAAGCGGCTTTGCTTCTTACTTGGCACACAGACGGATTGGAAGACGCAACAGCCAACGCATGGTATTGGCTTGGAATAGCTGTTCGCATCGCCACCGGCCTGGGAATGCACCGTGACGCAGAAGGCAGCACATTAGTCCAACACAACAAACGCATGTGGCGACGAGTATGGTGGCTGCTTTTCCAAAGCGATGTATGGATCTCGCTTCAGTACGGGCGGCCACAGTCAATCCATCTTGAAGACTCGAATGTGCAGAAGCTGAAAGTATCAGGCTTTGCTGACTGCGGACCGGATGCACAGCCTGAAAGCCTCATTCAAATGTCTGAACTGGCTATCATAGTATCAAAAGCAATGCGGGAGAGGAATCGCGCCTCAAGTGACGAGGCTAGGCGCATCGTGTTGCGCAAAACCGATGAGAGGCTGGCCCGCTGGGCGTTGAGGCTGCCACAGTCACCGAATCTCCATGGTGCCCTAGAAGCCGGTGTATGGAACACAAATCTGCATCTACACTACAACATGGCTCTCATTCTTCTTCATAGGGCCCATCCAAAAGCTCCATCTCGAGACGTCAGTGGCGTAGAAAGTTCTAAGCGCGACGACAATGCTGAGATATGCGTGGCTGCTGCGGGAGTGATCCAATCCCTCTTCCAGACCTTATGCCAAACTGATGGCATGCGGTGTCTTTGGCTGTCAACCATAAACTGTCTATTCTCCGCTTTGGTTCAGTTAAGCACCGAAATACGCATTTCGAACCCCTTGCTTGCCATCTCGGCCCTTAGAAGATACGATTCAGCTCTGGTGTCGCTGAAACAGCTCGCAGAGTACTGGCCTAATGCAATGTCTATCCTGCACTTTTTCGAAAACTCGGTGCAAATCAATTCCCGGCTTCAAGATAGTCACGACGTTTCGCAGCTGTCCGACAAGGACCCTGAAAATCAAGAGGACGCTTTACAACAGTCAACACTGGGAAGCAATATCTACCACACAGCAAAAGACAACCAAGAGGTAACAGATGGAAGTCAAAAACGATCTTATGAGTCAAATATTTCGTCTGCCTGCGGTCTCACAGAAGAAACACATGAAACTGGGGATTTGAATAGCACTGGGGAAATTCTCGACTCTTGGAGACAATGGCAAAGCCAACACTGGCATACCCCCGAGTTTTCAGATGAATATTTATTCACATTCTAGATTGCAAAGACTGTAAAACGAACAGATGAATTCCCAGTCTTCTAGCAGAGTCCAAGAGAGACCCGTCCGAAGTCTTTCTCACATTCACCATCGTCCTCCTCAACCTTCGCTGGGATAGGCTTGTTCGCCAATGGAGTCAGACGGAAAGCATGCCTGCGCTCGCCAGCAGGGTAGTCAAGAGTCTGAGAGTGGTTCGTGACACGCTGATCCCAGATGAGAACGGTACCAGCCTCATAACGGACACGACACTGGAAATCCTGTCTCTTAGCGATGTGATCGAACAAAAAGTTCAGGAGGTAATCCGATTCCTCCTGGTCGAACCCAACGATCTTCTTCGTGTAGACGGGATTGACATCTTCCAAGTCTTTGTCAGCAAATATCGTATCACATCCTGAAGTGAACTTACATAGTGCCTTCTCTCTGGTAACGGGATGAACGATGACGACAGGGTGTTCTTGAACCAGTTGCTGCCTCCTCATTACTGCGTTTTGGCCGTTCTTCAGCTCCTGGGTGACACCATCGTTATTGGAATGGATAGCAGTCAACCCCTCCAGCCTCTTCCTGAACTTGGGTGACAAAGCCTTGAAAGCTTGAACGCTAGAGCTCACAAGTGTGTCACCGCCAGCGGCAGAAGGTGACTCGAGCATGCAGATGAAGGTGGTACCAGGAGGTTGAGGCTCGGGGGACTGGTCGGTGTGCCATTGCACAGGGCTGCGACCCCTCCAAGACTTGCGCACACGAAGATCCTCTTTATGATCATAGATGATCATGTGCTCCTCAGAGCCAGCAGCAGGATGTGGCGCCCATCCATGGATGTGCAGTGGGCCGAAGTGGCGCACGATCTGCTTCTGGCGTTCGAAGCCGATGTCGCGGAAGTCCTGGTTGCGAAAGACTAAGGCACCACGCTTGGCAGCGAGAAGCGCGAGTTCATCCAGTCCTTCAGTTGACAGCTGCGACAGCTGGACTCCCTCGATCTCAGTGCCCACATGGGGCGAGAGGTCAATGACCTTGGTTGCTGTTGAGAGAAGATTGGGGAGCCTTGGGTCAGCGCGATGACCGGGGTCGAAGTGCTCGAAAGACCCGATGTCTTCTACCTTTTCCAGAGGGTCATAGAAGGGCATGAACTCAGGATACAGTGCAGAACCATCTTCCTTGACGGGTCGCGTGACGAGCTTGGTCGCCAGAGGCTCTGCAGGGCCGGGGACAGGTGATGTAGTCGTGGCTGAGGGCGCCATGGTAGCAAGCCTCTTGAAGCCCCCTGGGTTCGGTATTGTAGAATAAGATGTACGACAACCGGGTAACTGTTTCCGTGTCGGTTCGCTCTTTGTCAATATTGTGGAAGTTTGTGAGATAAGATGGATAAGATCGCGGGGAAGATCCTGTGCTATCAGCCAGGCTTTACTTATACCTTCTCCGGATTACCTCGGGCGGGCTTAGAGCCACAGAGCTGGAATTTATCAGACCATTAATGATTGGTTCGAAGTGTCTTGGATGATGTTCGGTGCCAATGTGGCAGTTTCTATCTGACGCGCCGATGGCAATCACACCGAGACCGTGAGTTCAAAACGCCGAGGCGCCGAGTCGCCGAAGCGGCCAAGCCGGTTGCTTGTCGTTATCAACAGAGGATCAGCGGGGCACAACAAACTCTTGCAGATAGCGCCATGTAAGTTGTCTCGATCTGCCGCTCTGTTTTACAGTTGAAATGCCAACTTTCGACTTTTCGACATTGTTGTTTCTCGTTGTCGCTTGCTTGTTGATCCAATCTCCGACCAATTTCTGGTGTTTTCACCATGAACGCTCAACCTCACGACGCATCCTCAATCGAGGAACTCGAAAAGAAGACATCAGGTCAAAACTCTCCTTCGTCAAAAGCTAGTGTGGCTGAGGGTCAGGCAAACTCTCCAAACTCTGAGTATGAGAGGTATCTGGACTTGCATCGACAGTTTGAGGGTGCTGGGAGAAAAAGGCTTTTGCAGAAACGTACGTGTTGATGCGACTCTAAGACTTAGCATACCTATGATTAACTTATTGGATGCAGTCGACTGGCGCCTTCTACCCACTCTGAGTGTTCTTTACTTGTTGTGTTCACTGGACAAGTCGAATGCGGGCAACGCCAAGATTTTCGGCTTCGTTACAGACGCCAACATGACATCAACCCAATTCAACTTGGGCTTGATGGTGTTCTTCTTCTCATACGGTCTATGGGAACCCGTCTCGAATGTTCTGCTTAGACGTCTTGGACCGAAGATTTGGTTCCCTATAATTATAGTAACTTGGGGTACGATTACGACCTTGACCTGTCTTTGCCGCAGTTTCGGAGCATTCATAGCCATTCGACTTGCTCTGGGAATCGCCGAGGCAGGCTTGTACCCCGGATCTTACTTCATTCTGAGTATGTGGTACACGCCTAAGGAACTTGCCACGCGCATGGCCATATTCTATGGCGCAAATACCGCAGCTGGCGCCTTTTCAGGTGTCATCGCGTATGGCGTTGGTCATCTCGACGGCTCTCATGGCTACACTGCCTGGGAGTGGCTATTCTTGATAGAAGGTGTCATCACTGTTGCTGTTGGCCTCATGACCATCTTCTTTCTTCCGTAAGTGTTCTTGCTCAGAATTCCACATCGTCCTGCTAACACGATTTGAAGTCATTTTCCCCACCAGTACAATGAGACTCGCAAGACTAGCTGGCTTACCTCGAGTGAGCTGGATTACGCCAAGTTGCGAGTGAAGTATGCTTCTGGTCCGGATGCCCCCACCTACGAGTTCCGCTGGAGCGACGTCTGGGCAGCTGCGCGCGACCGCAAGACATGGCTCATGATGATGATGTTCTGGTGGGGTGGCTCTATTCCGACGTACTCCTTGTCGTATACTTTGCCGACGATGGTGAAGAATCTAGGATATTCAGCCATCCGCGCCCAGGCCTTGACCACGCCACCTTACATTTTCGCAACCATTGTGTGCATCTTCAACGGTTGGATGAGCGATCACTTTCAGAACCGTTATGCCTCGATCATGGCCTGCTACGCTGTTGGTCTTACCGGAATCGTCATCTTGTGGATCAGCGTTCACTTCCCGCAAGTTTCAGGGGTGTCATACTTCGCGATATTCATCGCAGCCGCCGGATACAGTGCCCAGGCACCGATTGTAGGAGCTTGGACTTCCAACAATATTCCAAACCCTTCCAAGAGGGCTGCTTCCATCGGATTTCTCATGCTTTTTGGCTCTGTAGGCGGCGGCGGTATTGGCTCCAACATCTATCTGGAGGAACAAGCGCCTGTCTATCCCTTGGGTTTCGGTTTCTCAGTTGGGGCAACTGTTCTAGGGGCAATGATCCCTGCTACCATTCATTGGTGTCTCATGCGGAGAGAGAATGAGAGAAGGGACACTTTGGACTACGATCGCATTCTCAGCGAACATAGCCAGGAGGAGCTTAGCAGTATGGAAGAGAATTCGCCGCTGTATCGTTACACTTTGTAGGGTTGGACACAGCACAGCAGTATAAGCAGGTTGAATCAAGCTCATTACTAGATCCATGATATTGTACGTGAAGGGGCAATTGAGGTACAAACTCTTGCCATCGTGAGGCTTGTGTATGTGTGATCACTATTATTCACTTCTAATATGTAGTCCAGGGCGCACAGGAATACGTTTCGGTACTGTTCTGTGTGAAGGAATTGCTTTTCCATAACATCGTTATCTGACCCGAAATATCGGAACATGACCTGGAGGTTATGTTCACAAATCAGGATTGAATGCTTAAACACTTCATACATTCTGCAGCAAGACACCAAGCAATATGTGGGCTTGTCTCGGCGTTTCGGCGGGAGGCTCGGCGACAGCACCATCAGGTGCATGCGGAAGTGTCATGTGATTGCCGATTGTATAATTCGTGTCTGGCCTCCTTGTCTCTTCACACAGCAAACATCTGGTTTGGCTACTGAAGCTGCATCACAAGCAACATGGCTTCTATCTCGCACCGACCCCTTCCTCAGGGTATCTACACTCCCCTTCCGACATTCTTCCTTCCCAACGAAGATTTGGATCTAGGTGCATTTGCAACTCACGTGCGATACGTAGCTGCGGCGGGCACCATTCCGGTGGTAGCGGGCTCAGCCGGCGAGGCACCTCATCTCTCCGCCGAAGAGCGCACGCAACTAATCCAGAGTGCTCGAGCTAGCCTCAACGAAGGCAGGTTACAGCATGTCCCTATCGTGGCCGGTATCGGTGCTCCAAGCCCCCGCGAAACCATTGAGCTTGCCAGAAAGGCCGAAACGGCAGGCGCCGACTATGCTATGGTCTTGCCTCCCGGTTACTATGGTGGCCAGCTTGGAAGTCCGGCAGGAAGACTTGCTCTGACGAAATTCTTCATTGATGTCGCTGAAGCAAGCCCGCTGCCAGTGGTTCTTTACAACTTTCCTGCTGTTTCAGGGGGCATCGATCTGGACAGTGACCTGATTGTGGATGTTGTGAAGGGCTCGGATAATGTCGTCGGAGTCAAGTTGACGTGAGTAAATAATCCTGACATCAACGACATCTGTCCACTATTATCTGCGATACTTACTGGAGGAAGATGCGCGTCCGTTGGAAAGATCACAAGGATCAATGCAGTGCTGTCTGCGCCTTCTTTCATGGAAACCTACCCACGTCGTCGTCAAGGGGACAGATTCAAGATCATCGATGGCTTCATTGACATCTTGCTGCCATCGATAGCCAGCGGAGCTGCTGGGGTAAGATTCAATGTCCAGGACGTAATGGAATTGGACTAACAATCTTCTCCGCGTTGTCATTGTAGGCTATCTCAGGTCTCCCAAACTTTGCTCCTGTAAGTCACTTGCATCTTGATACTTCGAAAGGTTGGCTTAGAATCACGCAGAAAACATGTGTCAAGCTCTGGCAACTATGTGGCTCATCTCCAGGCTCTGAGGAGTACAATGAGGCTCAGCGTCTTCAAGGTCTGTTGGCTATGGCGGATGGAGCGTGTCAACGCATAGGAGTGAGTTATCATGCTTACCAGTCTGGAGGGAAGAACACTGACAAGACCGAAGATCGCCGGGTTGAAAATGCTTGTGCATATGGTATTGGGACATAGTGAGCTACCTCGAAGACCGCTGATGCCCATGTCAAAGGAACAAGGACAAGAGCTTGTCTCTCTTGATGCCATACAGGCCGTCATGGGAGAGGAGCATAGGTTGACAAAGGAACAATGAAAACGAATCAAATTTGGGCTATAAGGAAGGCTAAAGATATTCCTGAAGCCCATCAAATTACCGAATTGTGCTCAGTGTAAATGTATGTTTTGATGGCATGTGACGTTCGATCTGACCCTAGTTGACAGAAATACGATGTTACATCACCTATTAGGTACTTTAGGAAACTACGTATTGATGCGGTCGAATCGGATCATGGAGGCATGAAATAGCGCTAGTGTGGGAATTTCAGAATCGGACTGCCAGTCCGACGTCGAACTATGATCCCGAATAAAGGCAAGATTCGGCGGATCAGCGTTGCATTAGAGGGGAATTTCCCCGCACTGCACCAAACATAGATATCATATCACCAGATCTGGGGTAGCTTTCCAAGATGCTGTGTTAGCCGCACGAATAGTATGTGGCCTGGGTTTCTGAGAGATGACCAGAGCAATAGAATGTGTGCAGCTACCGACGTCTCCAACGTGTTGACCTATTTTGGTTGTTAGTTATAAAAGGCTCCGGCATCCGTGTTAATGTAAATGATTAAGACAATGTGATTAAGGACAGTCGAGGCAATAGCGGATTTGATCTTGGAAACTGTCGTTGAACCAGCGCTTCATCATGAGATTCTTTTCAGTTCTATCTCATCTCTTCGTCACATTTGCGACCGAAGCGTCATCCCACGGCTTGGCAAATCTGGTTCAACGAGCCACCCCTGTACCTTTCAGCGACTTCACCAACAACCTAGTATTCTACCCAGATAGGAACTACACCAGCTGGAAGGTCATCTACGCCCGCACTGTGCAGCTGCCTGATGGTAGTCACCTTCTATCGTGGGAGAACTATCCACCCGAACCTCCGCAAGCCAACTTCCCCATTTACAAATCAACCGACGGAGGCGCAAACTGGATCGAGTTTTCATATGTGTCTGACCAAGTCAATGGATGGGGTCTGCGGTATCAGCCCAGCTTCTACCTTCTCAAAGAAGCATTTGGCGGATCCTGCCGGAACCATTCTTCTTGGGGGAGCTTCTGTTCCGGCGGACCTGAGCGAAGCTTATCTCGATCTTTACGCAAGTAGGGATGGGGGTTTTGAACTGGGAATTTGTCAGTCACATGGTATATGGCGTTGGGCCCGAGACTACCACCAACGGCAACGATGCAGTATGGGAGCCATTCTTCATGATGCACGAGGGCGAATTTATATGCTTCTTCTCTGATCAGAGAGATGAGAATTATGCGCAGAAACTTGCACATATCACGACCAAAGATCTCAAGACATGGAGCGAACCTGTGGATGACGATGCTTCGTCGGCATACGACGACCGGCCAGGGATGACCACGGTGGCACACATTCAATCCACGGGTCAGTACATCATCACGTATGAAGTTTGCGCGACAAATGAGGGCTGCGAAGGGTATCACAAAGTCTCCTCCTCGCCCCTGACGTTTGGCACTATTGAAGGGCGCGGGGACAAAATTGTTTCCGCCGAAGGCCATACTACCGGGGGATCACCATACGTCATTTGGACTCCCAACGAGAAGACAAACGATGGCACTGGCATAATCATCATGAATGGTGCTAGCAGAGAACAACTTTTCGTTAACGAGGATTCTGCGGATCCAGCGGGATGGAAGGAAGTTGATGTGGGACAATGGGCAGCGCATTCGAGATGCATTGAAGTGATCAACAACAACGGAACGGAGAAGTTGATGCTTTCCAACGCTGGCCAAATGCAGGCGGGATTTGACAATTATGTGGTTGTTGGAGTTGTGGATATTCCCTACGATGCTGTCTGACCTCTGGTGACATTTCAAAGGCCCATCTTTAGCATACAGACATTGGAAGTACCATCAACACTATCCAACTAGTAGTTGGCGAGAAATAGAGTACAGAATGCATAAGTTTTATTCTGTTTTATGACAACAAAACAACCCAGACAGGTATGCTTTTATTGAGGCGAACCATCCACGGTCGGATAGTCACCAACTATCATCTTTGAATACCGCTTGACAACCCAAGCCTCCAATGAATTCTCGTGCCTCAGTTTCTGATCTGGACACATGGGGCTGCTCCTCCTTACTCTCATGATCTATAGTCATCTGCAGAACCCCAGATGGGTCGACCACCACCACATTCCGCCCATCCAAAATCAGCCGTCGGATATTTTCACGAATTATCCTTTGTGCAATGGCATTTAGTGAGTATGTGTCACGGAACGAGAATACCACGGCACAGGCATTGGCATGCATTCCAGAGCCGGGGTCATCCGGGTCCGGCTCACTCAGCTCACGCGCAAGAGTCCTGGTAAGACGCTCTGATCCCGCAAATCGAACAGCGCCTCGAAGACTGAAGATAACCACTTTTCGTTGGCAGTTCGGATGATGCGGATCCCTCTTACCCCCAACGATTGTGGCTACTGAGGTGCGCACAGTGGCACCGGCGACCTGGCTGGCGTCCATCATGTGCAGGCCCATGTCCCGTGACAACTGCTCACAGATCATGACGCCCCTTACACTGTTTCCGCGCCCGTCAAGCTTGGGAGAGAAAGCTGCGAGACCGACTTGGCCGGGCAGAGCCCCGAGGATGCCGCCAGCCACACCGCTTTTCGCCGGGATGCCCACCCTGGAGACCCAGTCGCCTGCAGCATCATACATTCCGCAGGTAGTCATGATAGAGAGAACCTGACGCACACTGGTTTGGGGGATAATATGGTCTCCAGTGATGGGGTTCACACCGCTGTTGCAGAGAGTTGCTGCCATCAAGGCCAAGTCTCTGACATTGACATTGATGGAGCATTGGCGGATGTAACCCTTCACGGCGTCTCGCGGATCGCAGGTGATGATGCCGGTTGCTTTTAGCATATATCCGATACTCATGTTGCGATCCGCATCCTTGAGTTCGGCCTGATAGACCTCTTCGTCGACGTGAAGTTCCCGGCCTGCGAGTCTTGACAACGTCTTCAGGATACGTTCCGTCCTCTGCTCCACCGTAGCGTCGGGCGAGACGACTAGTGTGTGTGCCGTAATGGCTCCGGCGTTGATCATGGGGTTCATGGGCCGATTGCTGCCGCGTTCGAGCGAGAGCCGATTGAAAGCGTCGCCGGACGGCTCTACGCCAATCTTTTCCAACACCCGCGACAATCCCGCATCCTCGATAGCCAGCGCATAGACAAAGGCTTTGGAAATCGATTGGATTGAGAATTCGACCCGGTCGTCTCCTGCTGAGTAGAGATTGCCGTCAACCATGGCCAGAGCCACTGCCATCTTGGACGTGTCCGCTTTCGCTAGCACATCGATGTAGTCGGCTGGTGCGCCATCGTCGTTGGGGCGGGCATTCTCAAGTACGCGGTTGAGATAGTCGGGGATGGGCGACTTCATTGCGTGGGTGAGTGGTGTAGCAGGATCGTGAGAACTCGGTGGAAAAAAGCCTCCCAAATTGCCAAAAAAGTGAGAGAGAATATATTTCGCTGCACTTGGCGCTTACTAACAACCTGCCCGCAGTGCACAATTAGCATTCCTCGGTTTCCGAGCCTAGTGGAATTTCGCGAGTCACGGTGGGTGGGTGACCTTCACAAGACGGCCGTTTGACTAGAGCATTCTTCATCGTCAGGGCTGATGAGCACATGACAACCTGCGAAAAATGACCTTGCCAAGGAAAAAAAAGGTCATTGGACGAGTCTTCTATGTTGTGGAGGGCGAAACGATTACGTCAATTTCAGCTTACCCTTCATTAGCTGTTTGGCGAGGGAAGCAAGGGCTTATTTGTGCTACAACATGATGCTTTGCCCTCTTATTATTGTCTCGTCGTCAGCAATTGAATTAGATGTGTCATACGGCCCCATCTGGCGTGGTTTGTAGGAGGCGTGGAGACAAAGCTCTCCACCTTTTTTTTTTTCAAAGGAAACCACATGTCAAGACCGAGCCGTTTTCGGATATCCGAAACCCCACAGATATGTTCTTGCCTGATCAACTCAAAGTTATGATGTCTTTACAGAATTGACAACTCTTTGAAACCGGCAATACTCTGAGCAGGAATGTTCGGTCCGGACTCTGTGAGGAGCATGTCTTCAGAACATCCTGATGTTATTTCTGAGAGTAACCATTGTCTGTCTTACAATGGAAATTATATGCGTTTGTTTCTAAACCACAAAATATTGACTGTAGGGTGAATTGGTTACAGAAACACAGAGCGGGAGAATGAAGCAGGAAACTGAGAGACAGTTGGGTTAGGTTAGTTCATGGCTTACAACGTTCGTAAAGTGGGGCGCGATGGATCAACACCTGGAGTGCGTCAACTACCGTATCTAATTCCCCTTTACCCGGCTAGAGCTGATGACTAAAGTGGCTGAAGCCGAGCTAGATAAACCAACCAGCAATAACTCGCAACTCGCAACTCACTCACCCCGCTCTCTTCCCCTTCTGTTCACAAACCACCACCTCCCGCATCCCGCACAGGATACAAGCAGCACAGATGAATGCGAGGGGTGACTTCTTCCCGGTGCAACGAATCGCTCAGGCATGTCTTCAGTGTCGGTAAGTATGCAGAGGCCGCGTTGAAAGCAGAGATCACGACATGGCGTACACTTTATAGCCTGGCTAACCTTACTTAGACGCAAGAAATGTCGGTGCACCGGAGATCGACCTGTTTGTGGTCATTGTCGTCGGCTAGGACTAGGTTACTCATGGCCCGTAATCCGGTACTCGTCTTATCATGCTAAGACACTCCTGCCAATAGACTGCGTTTACGGTGAAGAGAACCCTCGGCAGCGTTCCTTGGACTCCGATCCGCACGTCGAGCCCGACGCATCTTCTCGGGAGACCACCGTGAGTGGAAGATGATGTCCAGCCAAATCAAGCTCCTACCATCTGTCTCTCTAACGAGGCTCTCAGACAACTGTGTTGAGGAGACTGTCAATGCTTGACAACAAGATGGAGAATGTGACAGCTCGACTTAGCACGTGAGCTACCACCCTGACGTTGTACCATAGTGTAACAAGCTCACATGGTCAACTTCACAGTATTGAGGACCGCCTGACATCACTTCTCGACCTCCACCTTTCAGGCAGCGTACCAGCGTCTCATGCCGCGCGCCATCCTAGCAATGACACCGCCGCACCAAACATTGTCTCAAATCAAGATCAGAGTGTGGTCGCAGAGCAGGAGGCACCTGCACCCATGGATGTTGGCGTGCCCGAAGACGTTGTCGCTGCTGCGGTGGATGCCTACTTCTTCTACTGCCACAACCAACCCTACTCCTTTTTCCATGAAGCGCACTTCCGTCGCCGCTTGTCAGAAAGGACCATCCCTACACATCTGCTGCTGACTATAGTGGCTACAGCTGGTCGCTTCTGCTCACATCCCTACTTCGCGGGGCGCGTGCACGAAGCGTCGGTCGACTGTGCCAATCGGGCTTGGAAGCTGATTGTTTCTGATTGCTTCACGGAAGGCACTGGCACGGAGATATCCGCAGTACAGACGGTGGCTCTTTTGGGTCTGTTTGACTTCACTGGTGAGTAGTTACTCTCATACTGGACCTTGTTACTTGTTCCCCTTAAGCGATAGGACAAGAGGCAGAACACTGACGGCAAGAGAAGCTGGCAGGTCGCGTCACGGTTCGGCATGGGTCAAAGTAGGTATGTCTGTGAGGATGGCACAGGATTGTGGACTCATGTTGGAGAACGCAACACACCTTCCATATATGGAGCAGGAAGAACGCCGACGCGTCTTCTGGTCTGTCTATCTCCTGGACCGACTGGTGTCCTGCGGACGTGGTCGTCCACCAGCTATCGTTGATGCGTCATGCCACCTGCAGTTACCATGCGAAGAGGTGGTCTGGAAGAATGAGGTATGGAGCAAGACACAATCTCTGGACGAGATGACAAACCGAGCCTTGACCGTCCCCCAAAGTCAAGGCTCCTTCGCCCATGTCATTGCCATGGCCCAGATCCTGGGACGGAGTGCGCAGTACATGCTTCAGGAGTTCAATATTCGCAGCCCTCATCCTCCCTGGGATCGAAGCTCCGATTTCGCTGCTCTTGAGTCTGATCTCCTCCACTTTGAGTCATCCCTGAGGATCCAACAACCGTTACAGCAGGTTCTGGCTCCGTACATTAGTGCCGATGGAGTCGTGGATTACCACACCACTGGCCCGATTATCTTCTCTCGAGCATTCTATCACCTCTGCTACTGCCTGCTTAATCACCCTTTTCTGTTAAAGCGCCGGATTGATACGTGCCGCACGTTGGCCCCGACGAGTTTCCTGACACGATCATCTGACCTAGGATGGTTACATGCGCAGCATATGCTGGCACTCATACGGGACGCTCGCGGGCTGGGGTGCTCCTTTCACTCCTCTTCTAGCGGCTACTGCGCGACTGTTGCCGGTTCTATTATCGCTTTGAGAACTGGTGATTCAGATTTAGCCGTGAGCCAGAGAGCTCAAGTACTGCTTGAAGAGGCTTTGTCGTATCTCGACACTTTAGGTCGTCATTGGAATAACGTCTCCTCGATGGTGCGTACCCCTTACATTCCCGGCTCTGCCGTACTGGAATTGCTTCTTTCCAGCCATGAAATGACCCAGGGCTCACGATTATACAGGCAACAGTGCTTAGACGAATGGTTTATGATGGTTTCCTGGGGGGTAGTCTGTGTAGTAGTGAGCTCCAAAGAGCTAACATTACTCTGGCCGAGGAAGAGACCTTGTGGGCTGTCGTTGACTACAACACCATGTCAAGCACAGTGAGCGAGGAAGCTTTGAATAACAGCCAAGACCTCAGTAGCATATGGCTTGATTCGTGGACGGACCTCTTTGGGGTGCCAGGCGATCAAATAGCCTCGCTAACTCCGAATCCTTTGTAGAAGAACACTCGCGGGACCAGTGGTAATTAATTGTCTGTATTGGAGCAAAGTCTTCAACATAAGCGTCTTGTCGCGAAAAGCGAGAAAACTTCAGTAATTAGGTAGTTGCCATAACATTTTGGAATCACCCAACCCGATGCTGGGCATAGGTATTTCGTGTAGTTGCTTAGTCCCTGTGACGAACATAATTAAAACATCACGCAATGGCTATACCATTTACAGCTCAACCGTCTTAGTGTCATGACCGACTATCGCCTCGTCGAGTGCCTCGTAGACAACACTGAAGTCGCGACTTCCCCATTCCGTCATTTGAGTCAGAGGTCGATAAACCTCCTCAACGCGTCTTCCAAGCGGCAGTGGCGCGTTTACTTCAAGAGCAGCCTTCACAGCCAAGGCCAGATCCTTGTGCGCTAGACTGGTGACGAAACCTCCCGCGTACTGACGATGAGCGGGAGGGCTTGTATCTCCGACCTTGACTTCGGGAACAGGGTGGTTGATCTGGAAAATTTTGTTAGCTTACCACCCATACAAGCTTGAATCCCAACGTCAGGCTTGTCCCAAGAAACATAATGTAGCGAACTAATCTTTCCATTGAAAATACCCGTTCAAACCTAACCCAGAATAACATACCTCACTAGACCAACATCTCCCCGTTGAATCGTTGATGATATCTGCGAGAACTTGGGAATCAACACCGAGCCTCTTGCCCAGCAGCATGGCCTCGCTGAGTAGATTTGCGTAAGATTCTGGATGAAAATCATTTTCACTCTGCATCAACTGCAGGCAGGTATGTGTTTACCTTAGACCTAGCATAGTGATCCCCAGCAAGAGACTGTGAATCCAAGGAATGGTCAGAACGGGTTTCAAAAGGAATATTGACACTGTAAGTTCCCTTACTTGTTGGATATCTTCGCTGCAAGACCAGCACCAAGGTCACCGCAATATGTGACCTTTCTGGCCATAGGCTGGAGAAAAGGGACTGCTCGTTCAAATGATCTCCTATTGCCGCCGACCATGATCGCAAGAGTACCATCTCTAGCACCGATCACTCCTACAAACATGATAGTCAGCATAATGTAGATTATCAAGGTATATTAAACGCTTAAGGGGCAGAACGACGTACCTCCAGATACCGGAGCGTCCAGTAAGTCAGCCCCAGTCTCCCTCAGCTTCAGAGCGATAGATCTGCTAACGCTTTGCTCGATAGTGGACTGGTCAAGACATAGTGTTGACGATCTTTGCTGCTCGTCCAACGTTTCTAAGGCGCGAATAACGCTGCTGTCACCGAGGTAAACGTCCTCTACATGCCGGCCTGTCGGCACCATTGTAATAATTGTCGAAGCCTTTTGAGCCACATCGTATGGAGCTGTAAGCATGTAAAAGTAAAAAATAAATCAGTGGTGTGGAATTTCCTGCAGCAAACTCTGTATCAAGACTTACAAGAGCACTTGTGTAAAGACACAGCTGGGTTATCTTTTTGGTGCCTCTGGATGACGCTTTCCACAGCCGCATCGTTTACGTCAAAAAGAGCGTATTTAGCACTGCTGTCTACTTTTGCTGTAGATCTGTTGACAAGGTTGTTGAACTAAAACAGGGTTCGTTAGAAGCATAGACGGAAATACTTGCAGATAGGTACTCACCATATGATTCCCCATAGCTCCCAAGCCGATGAATCCGATGGTGTTGGTTCTGTCAGCGGCGTCGCTGGCCGTCATGCGCACGGAGCCCAACTGACGATGGCGTCCAAGTTGATGTCTGCATGGTTGCTGGCGGAGGATGGACCCCCAAGAGATCGTTGCCCGCATTTGCATATCGAATCTTGCGGAGGAAGTTCGCATGAGGTCATGGTCTATTCATCTTCCCATTGACTGAATTCGTTCCTTTAAGAGTGAATCGACCATTTCCGAAGTGATACCGTTGTAGGCCCGTGGTGAACGGCTCCCGTAGCTAAGCCGGAACATGGTGGGCTTGATCGGACGGCCGGAGTGGGTACGGTCCGGCATTTGGGGGCTGATCTGCACTGGTGTGCAAGGGTGGGTATAAAGGTGGACACGGTCCGGTGCCCGTGTCACTAGGATTGCGTGCATTGCTAGGGTCAAGAACTAGGACTGATAAGATGTAGCCTTCTCTTTTGGGAAAGAATGATTTCATCTGAAGAGCAAAGTGTTGGTCTCTCGGCTTCGACGTGGAATTTCATCTCTCGGGTATGTGATAGGCCAACATGGTTACATCCTGCCGACGGCGGTCCGCTGGCCTAGGCAAACAAAGCGAGGTTTTCGCTGGATCATCACCATGTTGATTGGGAGAGGACGTGCATTTACCGCATGTCCTTTCCCAGGGAGCCACCCCCGACCATTGTGAACACTGAATACAATAGGCTCCTTTTCAAAAGTTGCGGTAAACAGCAGTAGATGGGACTGCACCTACGAGAGGTGATATTGAACAGGCTCACTCCTATTCGATGTCACGACCACCCACGATATCGTGCTTGAGAGACTGGTGATATGACAAGGGCAGCCTGCAAAACAAAAACAGGTCCATTCGCCGTCAGCGTCTGACGGCATTCGCGTGATTGTAAGCGACCTTGGTTGATACTTAGTCACGAGCGATTGTAATATAATCAATGACTGTCTTGGTCTGAGTCAGCCTCTACTTGGTTCACGAGTGGCAACGCTTGAGATCATGTACGACCCCGACGAAAGCACAATTTCATAGAATTCGATTATTGAAGTACCCTAATACCGGAACATCAAAGCCATGATAGTGATAGGCTGTCATGGTGACAGTTAGGCTCCGGAGCTGAAGACCAGTGCGGAGATTCTTCCGGGGTTGCTAGCTGAAGAACAGGTTTGAGCAGCTCGAAATTGCCCCATTCACCTTCCAGTTGGGTAAACCATGGCGATACCGGCCCAAAGCGCTCAGGAAACACATCGGCCCATCCCTTAAGCACAACATCCAGCAGCTCGAGGACGAACAGCTCGGGACCAGTTTCGCCCCATTGGAACCTTTCATTGCACTGCTTCACAGCTTCAGGAGAGTAAAGTCCAACATCCGCCTGCAAGGGCAATGCGGCTGCCGCCATGAGCGAGGCGAAGACGTGATAGGAGCCGCCCTGACGGGCGCGGTCTCTGATGGCCATCATAGCCCCAATTGCGCCAATCAAGCCGGTCAGCATGTCTGGGACTGGAAGAGCCGGCAATACACAGGTGCCGTCTGTATGACCCAGACTTCTTCCAGTGACATATGAACATCCAGAGGCGGCGTCGGCTATCTGCTGCCACCCTGGGCGCTCGTGCATGGGGCCGTCTGGTCCGTAGCAGTTCTCTTCGACGTAGACGATGCCCTTGCCCCGTTTCCCGGCCATCTCCAAGAGGTCGTGGAGGCCCATTCCTCTCCTGGCTAGGGACCCTGAACGGTAGCCCTGGACGAAGATGTCGGCGTCCTGGATGAGACTGAGCAAATGCTGGAGTTCGTCCTCTTTGTCAAAGTCAATATCCAAAGTGCGGACTCCGGCGTTGAGCGTGAGTTGCAAGGACTGTTCGTTGTTTATCAACTGTCAGCTCTTGTAACATACTCCTTCAAACGTAGTAGACGAAAAAAATTTGTAGACATATGCAAAAGGGTTGTTTCGGTGCTTACATTAAAGTCGGGCAGCCTGCTGCAGTTGATGCGGACGACGTCGGCTCCTAGTGCCGCCAACGTCGTTCCAATCACTGGGCCTGCAATGATCCGCACAATTTCCACCACTTTGATGCCGGCCAAAGGTCGCTTGTCGGGCCCCGGGGTTAACGGAATCGCTGGAGTAGGAATGGCGTGTGACTGCAACCTGTAGTTCACCAGAGGGTGCTTGGAGAGGACTTTGCTCATCCGCGTCTGCCTCCACGATTCCGGAGTATAGCAGATGCTCCCACAGAGGCCACGTTCAATATTGATGGCCTCCAATTCGTGAGCACCAAACTTCCGCACGTGGTTGCCGATGAGCTCATAGGCTTCATCGAGCCCGCTGCAAGGGGTCTCTACGTCCAGGCCAACGGCTTGAAGCACAGGGCCCGCATCAAGTGACCCATGAAGCTGATACCAGGTTCCCTCATCTTTGGTCGGATAGTTGGCTGTCGCGCGGAGTCGCAAAGGCGTTACAAACGTGCCCTTTTCCAGGTCCTTGGAGAAGATGCCTGCGAGCTCACCCCGTTTAGCCAACTCTCGGACCGTTGACCCGTTGCGCTTGGCCATGCCAACACACCCAAGCCAGAATGCGGCATGGTCTGTATTGATACCAACATGGCGGATAGGACTGCCGCCGTCTTGAAGAGCCAGGAGCTCATTGGCAACCACTCCGCACATGGCGTGCAGTGCCGCAGCAATGACAGGAGACTTGAGTGGGCCAGGGGCGATGGTCTGCGGCGAGCCTTGGAACGAAACAGACTTCCACATTTCCTTATCTTATGTGAATCCCGGAGTCATCGCCGCCAGCGATTCAAAAAGCCGAAGCGCATCGTCAGGGACGGCTGGGGCATCGTGATCGATCCATGACCCAGGCCCATAGATGTCGGTGCCTGGGATACTGTTCGCCATCGTCTTGGGGTTTTTGGTGCGCGGAAGGATGTAACAATGACTAAGGCGATGGCGGTTGCAGAGTGTGTTCACTGTTTTGCTGGAAGAGGAAGTTTGGGGTACAGTATTGGCGCGGGATGAGATTGCCTGTAAGACACCACAGAGTCATAATTCAAGAGGTTCGCCATTGTAATTGACGACTTAAATACGATGTGAGTAGACGAAAATCAACATGCAGCCGCTACTCCCCCATGCTTGCATCCGGGGCATTCCTAGTGGATGCTCGGCCCCAGACGACGATGGATTAGAACATTCCCAGGATCGTCGCCGGTCCGCCCGGACCGTTGGGGGCCAAGATTCTAGAGCGCTCTCCGCACATGTATCCAGCCATTGTTCCCACATGCTTGTCATCGGAGGCAAAGTTTACCCAACTAGGTTAAATATGCCGGCAGTGAATATTCTTATCAAAGAGCGGGGACCAACAAGCCAGGGGGTCACTATTGGAAAAGGTCTTCCTTGCCTTGTTACATAGTACGCCTGAGTCCTGACATCCATTCAACAAGGCTTCATCATACCTAGTCAGTTCACCAAAAACTGTCAACACTCATCCTTGGAAACTCTCCACCTCTAATACTAACGTTCACTACCGAAATGGAGAAGCCTTGTTGGTTCGTTTGACCCCTGCCCATGCTGTTGCGGTTGCTTGTCTCCATGGTTTCTCTCCGTTTTTGAAGGCATCTTTAGTCCGCAGGCTGACTTAATGTCCAATCAGCTCGCATAAGCGACATGATAGCGGAGCGGCACCGTCGCCGGTCCTGATGGATCACTCGACCATCACCAAATTAACCGAAAGCGCATTCCCCGAGCCCTTGTACGGCAATGTCACTTGGCAAACGCTGCTGTCGAGACCCGACACCTTGACTGATTCCATGTGTGCGGGACTGGCAACATGTCCACCTGAGGGCTTTCTTGCTCTTCACCAGCACGCACAGGCTGAGATCTATTACATCCTTTCCGGCACCGGCAGCGTTGAGATCGATGGCAAGCGGCACGCCGTATCAGGTGGCAGCATTCTGTGGATACCAGGGGATGCCGTACATGGTGTTTTCTGCGGGCCTGGTGAGACCCTGCACTGGCTTTATGTTTTTCCCGAGGCTCGGTTTGAGGACATCATCTATCGGTTCCAAGAACCCATCAAAAGTAAATTGTAATCAAGATGTCGCACGTTAGTTAGAGCAGTTCTGGAAGGCGTAAGGATGACAATACGTCTCAAAGGCGGTCGAGGACTCAAGAACGATAATGGAAGGCTTCAATGGTCCATGGAGGAAGAACTCAGAATGAAACATGATAAGAGTAGGTTCCTGATTAGTATGAGTAGTAGAGGCGATTCAGGTCTATGGATGCCAATCATCTTTACTTCAAAGATTGATTCAAATAACGCAAATCATGGCCATCTATGTGTGATATTTTACATTTGAGTAAATGTGTGTCTTTGCAGCTAGTGGGCAAAACGCATATCGATGGCCGTCTGCTTTTCTGCCTCTGAAGCCTCTGCATATCTCCTCTCAAGTATACGATTACGCCAAATGTAATACAGCTTCATGCCGATGAATAGCAGAATGTTCAATACACAAAGCCCAATCAAAGCCTTGTTGGCGGTGTAATCTGAGTCAAATTTGTCAGTAATTCGAAAAGGAATTCTGTAGAGTTGGAATGTTCCTTACAGTACGGCTTATCCTCGTCACGATAGATGTTGACAGCAGCTATGCTGCCTATCTGATACGTCATGTTGTACACAGCTGTTGCGACCGCTCTCGTACCCACGCTACGTGAGTTGCGACTCGCCATTCCGACGAGTACGGAGTGCGTGTAGGGTATCGAGTTGATCCCGGTGAGCAAAGCATACCGGACCCAGGGGTTGGCCGATTCGGGCAGAGCGACAAGTGCGATGAAGAAAGGAAGCATCCAGATATTGCTGCAGGACGATATGATGGAGCGTTCTTTGAAGTACTCGGATAACCAACCGAAGATCAGGACCTGAACATCAGGTATCAGTGTTTTGTGCTTGGGTACTTTGTGTCGGACTATACTTGCATTGATCGCGAACAGTGCATAGCTTGGTATCGCAAGCATGTTGGACTCGAACACTGAGTACCCCATGTCGCGAAGAATGAGAGACAGGTAGTTGGCTGTCGGCTGGAACGGAATCCAGGCGAAGAGGCCAACGAGAAAAATGGGCCACAAGTCTACGGTCGTCAGCGCTGACCAGAGACCTTGAAAAGTTACGGCTGTTCGGTTGTTCATGTCACCCTTCGTAGGGTCGTCTCTGAGGATACGGTTGACGAGGACCTCCTCCTCGTGCTCTGTCCACCACTTGTTAGATCCGTCTGGGCGCCTGAATGCGCGAGCGGGCTCGCAGACAGACGGAGGCATGACGAAGAAGCTTATAGAACCGATGATTACGCATATGAGGCCTTCGAAGAGGAAACTAGGTGTTTTGTCTGGATCAGTATTCGTGGTATGATGAGGCGCTTGCAGAAAACATGTAACTTTGCTGCTTGGTCTTATACTCACAGCCATTGCCAACCCGCCCAGCCTCTGATACCCCTCATTGCGAGGAACCCCGCCGCTAGGAGGGCACCGTAGATCTGTGTGATGGGAATAACTGTGTAAAACACACTTAGACGAATGGGAAGTTCGTTGTTCTTGTAAAAGTACGAGAGATAAAGCACCATCTCCGGAATGAAGCCCCCTTGTACAAAACCAAGAAGTCCACGGAAAGCCCAAAAGCTTGCTCGGCTGTTCATTAGCGTCTGCAGGGCACACAGCGCACCGAACATCGTGATGATGGTCGGAGTGTATCTGAAGGGTCCAACTTTCTTGCTGATCAGGCCACCGGGCAGTTCTGCGGCAAGGAAACAGACGAGGTAGATTGTTTGACCGGTGTTATAATCACTGGACGTGGAAGGGTTAGCAAAGGTGTTCGATACGGAGGGCTGTCCATTACTTGCTTAGTGTCCATTTTCAGGTCGTCTAGCTGATGAGCCACTTCAGTAAGCCTTCATTCTGATTGTCGTTGGATTAGGAATGATGGCTAGGTCTTACCATGTTGTCGGATACTGCACGATTTACGTTCCTGCGTACTAAATCGAGACTGGAAAACATTACCCAGACCCAGGTCATGATTCTCCAGTCCAACTGTCACGATTGACATAGGCATCAGCTGAGAAATTCTACACTCATGAAGCTGATTTCGACTTGGTGTTTTCAAGAGTCTGGGTACTCAGAGATAGTTACCTTTTTCTTGAGAAGCCTCTCCTCTTCCGCCGACCATGTCAATGACGCATTGAAGCGATGTCTCCCCTCGTATGCCGCGGTTTCGTAGACCTGTTGCCAGTGTGCGGCACGTATAGGATTGGAGAAGACATGTGGTTCGACAGAGCCTAGGACCTCGCCGGTGGAAGGAGGGAGCTCATCGCGCACATTGACGTCAGTCTCGGAGCCGCTGGTCTCCGGGGCTTTTGAAGCCATCTTAGCTTTTGAAAACGTCTCAAACCTGAGCGTAGTGCAGCAACTAAAGGAGCACAAAATCCCATGCAAGATGACCTTTCTTAGATGTGTGTTTCACGGCGGCTCAAATGAAATAGCTGTCGAACCAAATGCCTTCTCTAGAGCCTTTGCCCATAAACGTCCTTGTAGCATCCTGTCTTCTGTCTTGCATCACACCTTACAACATCTGCATTCCTCGCAATGCAAAAATTGTGTGACATGCAATAGCAGTTGCGCAATCAGGAAGAACAGGCTTGTCATGATTTAAGGTGGATTTTTATGGGCTGAGGATTCATTGCTAGCCTGGGGCTGGGAACTCTGGCTCTCGATGGAGGGGTAAGGTAAAAACGTGTCCAAGGTCGGGAAGTCACCGAGATCTTGCATGGTACAAATGCGTTCGGATTCTGTACTCTAGTGTAATAAACCGAATATGCCAAGTCCTGTCTATTCAAAAATACCCCCTTTTTGTCTATCCCTGTACATGGAGCGCCACCATCGCACTTCTATCCACCCTCGAGGGACTTCATCTACTCGTCCGGTGCGCTTAAGTTTGTCACTTATCATCATGCAATCACTACTGTGCCCATTGCCGATAGACGTAAGATGTTGGTTGGGCCCCGATCACGGCCGTTCTATGGAGACTCTCGGCATGACGTGATCCTACCACCCCTGAACACGCCCCCTGATGGCGATCCTCTTTACTTGTGAGTGCTCCGAAGACCGCGGGGACTGGCAAACAGCGCCGCGACTAGCGCGATAGCTGCGAACGTGGTGGATGCAGCAAACGCGTATTGGATGCCTTCGTAGTAGACCATGCGAGCGGGGAGACGCACCTCCACCGGGAGGGTCTTGAGGGCTGTCACGGAGTGACGAATCTCGTCGATGAGCTTCCATGATGTTAGCAATTGAGACACCAAGGGATAATTGGGGAACTTCATACCCTCCACTTGTCAGGGATATCGCCGAGAGCATCTGGCAGACGGACGCTCAGGGTCGTTTGGACGATGGCCGAGGTGATTGCCACGCCCCAGACGGTGCCAAGGGAGCGGACGAGGTAGACTGTTGATGCCGACACGGCGTGATCTGTAGTTCATGTTAGGCCGAATTTGATGCTCTGATTGTGAGACTCGACCTACCGGCGTGATCAAACGAAGCTAGTGTCGTAAAGAGGATGGCGGGGTAGATAATTCCCTGGCCAAGATTCGCTGGGAAGATGTAGACCAAGTACTTCCAATTGCTATCCTCAAACTGCAGAGCCGTCACCAGGGCGTTTCCGAAAAGCATGAAGAAAGCTCCGGTGCGAACGAGCCAGACGAGCTTGCCCCAACGTGACATTACAATCCCGGCAACGAGGCCGCCGAGAGGTGTGGCGAGCGATGGAATGGCCAGTCGTGCACCGGCCTTGGTCGCAGAGTCGAGCAATACGACCTGGAAGAAAAGAGGCAGCATGAAGAGATACTGTCTCGAGTTAGAAGCGTTTCTCGTCATTCGAAATGGTCTCAAGAGTCGTCACTTACAGCATACGCAGCGAGTCCAGCACAAACGTTCGAAATCTGCGTCAACACCGGCAACCGACCCCTCAGCATCCTCAATGGGATAACAGGAATAGCCCTCGTTCTCGCCTCGACGACCAAGAACAGGCCCAACAGCACCACGCTTCCCACCAGCGTCCCAATAACGATCGGACTGCCCCAAGGCAACTCATTCCCGCCCAGGCTCAGTCCGACGAGCTGGACCGAGATAGCCACGACTAACAACAGCGCACCGGAAACATCGACGCGGGTCCAGATGGCCTTGAAGTCAGTCGTGTCGATGTCGAAGCCGCCCTCGGGGTTCTTGATCACAATCGCACCGAGAACGAGGGCCAGGACAGAGACAGGGACCTGCAGGAGGAAACACCAGCGCCAGCCGATGTGGTCGGCGATAGAGCCGCCAAAGGAGGCGCCCGCCACGGCGCCGAAGCCGAACATGCCGTTTTGGAGGGCCTGGTACATGCCGCGCTTGCGGAAGGGGATCATGTCCGAGTTGACGATTGTTGCTGGTGGCCTGGTCAGTCATGCCCCCTCATGCATGCCTTGAGGATAACAAATGAAATCATAACGTACCCATTGTCATCAACCCTCCACCACCAAAGCCCGTCAGCGCTCTCATGCAATTCAACAACACCACGTCCCGCGCCAGCCCGCACCCGAGACAGCCCAGCCCGAACGTGACGCTGCTGACGAAGAAACACACGCGTCGTCCGAAGATGTCGGAGAAGCGGCCGTAGAGGGGCTGGAAGGCGGTGCTGGTGACGAGGTACGACGTCGTCAGCCACGAGGCGGTGTTGGCGGCGTCGAACTCGGAGCTGATGACGGCGTACGTCGCGGCGGTGATGGTCCCGTCGAAGCCGTACAGGAAAACGTTGGACATGATGGCCAGCTCGATCCAGGTGAAGCCTGGCGGGGGCTTCCAGGCTTCGCCGGAGGTGACGGCCGCGCCGGGGTCGCGGAGGAGGGGCTGGTCTTCGCGGGGGGCCGGGTCTGCGTCGGGGTACGGGGGCGGCGGTGAGGCCGGGGCCCGGGCCTCTTCGTCGGAGTGGGGCCGGGGATTCGACATTTTCCAATGGCTGATGGCTCCTTCAGAGTGTGGTGTCTGATTGCACGTGCTGTAAGACAAGAGAGTCTCAGTCTGCAGGAACTAGGATGGCTGCCGCGTGGACATTAGATGAGACGGAAGTGGGGATGCGCGGCTGTTCAATGGCAGGATTTCATTGAGTTGGAGAGTGAAAGAAAATTCAAACGGCCATCACGCAATCGGGGCCACAGCGACCTGGTCTGACTCTTCCGGCGCGGCTTTAAACTTGTCAGTGCTGGATGGAGTCGATAAGCCGGGGTATGGGCGGGAATGACGAAGTGCAAGGCGGGACCATTTTTTTCTCTACTCTTCAGTTTCATCCGCCGATGGGGACGCGGCGGGTGACGTGGGGCCGGGCTTCGTCCGCACGGTGTAGGGTCCTTTGGTCTCGACGGGCCAACATCGGTGCCGGGTCGGGTAGCCGATGATTGCAGTATGCTTCTTGGTTTTGATGGAGAAGGTATATCACACCATATGCATCTCAATCACGTAATGCCTCATACTGTTGTGCCGTTCACGCCGTTTGCTGCATCGTTCCTGGCGTTGAAATGATTCCACATCGATTCTTGGTTGAAGGAGTCTGGGCACCCCGCGCTAGCGGGACACGGCACAAGATTCCGCGTGAGTGCCGGAGGTGACGGGTTGATGTCATGATGAAGTACATGCAAGGCCTGGCTCCAGGATGTAGGCATGTATGGGATTGATTCCTGAAAGTCATTGTCTTGAGCATAGTTGCGAGACCGAAGCAATCCTTCGAAGCACGCAATGAAAGAGTTTTCAACGTGCTGCTTCCCACAATACTCGAGGCAGACCAGTAAATCTATTCAAGACGATTGTCAGCTAAATCTTCGTCCGTACTGGCTGGCCTGCGTCTTGGAGCCCCAGAGAGCTTGGAACACGTAGCATTGGTCGTTGACCGTCATAGGACTCGTCGTGATGCAAGGCAGACAATGAGTCAGGCCGAAGACAAGTGTTGTCTCTCCAATCTATCAAGCCCAGCAGGTTCAATTGGATAGTCTGTAACATTATGGTGCCATGCTTGACAAATGTCAAGGTATTGCTGCAAGAATAGCGATGTCGCCATGCCGATCCGTACGCTGAGGGGAAGCACACCCAAAGTCTGTTGAATTGAAAAGGGCGGGGTATCCCGCCCTCTTCCACGCCCAACATCCTCCTCAACCAGCGATAGCTCTCAGAAGCAAAGCATTGTAAACTGAAAATATTGGAAAACAAGTGAAGGAAATTCTCACAAATCATCTTTTGAATTCTAGGGCTCATGTACTTCGCCAAGGTGAATGTACCTATTCTTCGCAATGGGTAACCCGACGGAAATAGCTGACGCACCTAGGATCCCCGGCCACCCACCATGAAGCAGCACACCACCGCGCTTCTCGCCTTATCCGCGCTCCTCGCCCCCTTGGCGTCCGCGGACTGGCAGTTCCGCTCCCGCCCGGACCTCGCCCCGCCGCGCCTCAACATCACCATCCCGGCGACCGCGGACGTTGAGCAGGGCTACCTCTTCGTCGCGCCCTTCGCAGGCCTCCCGGACACGCCGACGGAGCAGCACGGCCCGCGCCAGGCGGGGCCGTACATCTTCCGCGACGACGGCGAGCTCGTGTGGAGCGGGTACGCCATCTACAGCATCTGGGCGACCAACTTCCAGGCGGCGCGCTGGCGCGGCCGGGATGTGCTGTTCAGCTTCGAGGGGGACCACAACCCCGGGTATGGCCACGGGCATGGACATGTCACGTTTTTGGACCAGCATTACGAGACGATCCGGGAGCTGCGCGCGGGCAACCATAAACTTGTTGATAAGCATGAGTTTCATGTTGTCAATGAGGAGACGGGGTTGATTCAGATTTACCAGCCTGTTCCGAGGGACTTGACGCCGTGGGGCGCGGAGCCTGAGCAGCAGTGGATTGTGAATGCGATTATTCAAGGTGGGAAAGTTTGAATCGCTAAAACACTTGGACGTCGTACTGATGGTGTGATAGAATTGGACATTGCTACTGGCAAGCTCCTTTTCGAATGGTCCAGTCTTGACCACGTCACTCCTGATGGTAAGATTCCAGCCTTCGCTTGAAGGGCACATTATCTCACACATATCACAGAGGCTATACTGCCCATCAACCCTGGCCAGGCCGGGTCAGGCTACAACAGCTCCGACGCATGGGATTACTTCCACATCAACAGCGTCGACAAGGATGCCACTGGCAACTACCTCATCTCCGCCCGCGACGCCTGTTCCGTGCACAAGATCAACGGCACTGACGGATCCATCATCTGGCGCCTGGCAGGCACAAACTCGTCGTTTGACCTCGGCGAGGGCGTCGACTTTTGCTTCCAGCACCACGCTCGCTGGCTGTCCCAAGATGGCGACGAGGAGGTTCTGAGTCTGTACGATAACAGCGCCCATGGTACGGAGCACGGCGGCGGTAGGGAGGTGCACACAGCGCCGACGAGCAGCGGGAAGATCATCCGCGTGAACACGCGTACCTGGAAGGCTGAGCTGGTCCAGGGCTTCTATCCCCCTGATGACTTGCTGTCCAAGAGCCAAGGCTCAACGCAGATATTGCCAGGCGGCAACGCGCTCGTCAACTGGGGTTCTTCTGGTGCCGTGACCGAGTTCAAGGCCGACGGTACTCCCATCTTCCACGCGTACATGGACTCTGGCGACCTTGGCGTGGCGGTGGAGAACTACCGCGCATTCCGCTTCAACTGGACCGGACTGCCTTCGGAGGAGCCTGCAATCGTCGCGCTCGAGAACAAGGACGGCACGGCGGTGTATGTTTCTTGGAACGGCGACACCGAGACCGAGACTTGGCGCTTCTATGAGCTCACCGACGAATATGGCTCGAGGAGCTTCCTTGGCGAGTCTCAGCGAACGGGTTTTGAGACTTCGCTGCACGTTCCTGGCCGTCGGGTTGGTCGTGTTGTAGCGGAGGCAGTTGATGCTCTTGGTGGCGTGCTGAGGGGCACTGGTGTCGCCAAGATTGAGCAAGAGATCCTGCCCATCAGCGCTGGGAAGGGCCGCAAGGTGCCGCACCCTCAAGTCGCGGAGAGCCAGCGTCCCAAGGAGAAGGTGCTTCAGAAGGCGAAGAGGTTCTGGGAGGAGTGGTCCATCTTCCGCATCGTCGGCTGGCGGAAGGCGGGCGACCTCTGATGGCTGCCATTCGTGAAGCAACGCGCAGCGTTCCTGCCAAGAAAGATGGATGAGTGCGACGTGGTTGGCCACGAGCTCGTTCACCCCGCCATTGCTGCGCTGCCACCCAGAAGTTGCTTATCCAACCGGTGAGGCGATGCAGTATCGATAGCGGGTACTTGGAAGATGCAGTATCCCGTCCTAGATCGTAGTCAATTGAATCGATACTGGAGCAGGCCTTGATGCCTCTCACGAGTGATGTCGAATGGAAGTCACCAATCTGTGCTGTGGTACCTTAGCTTGAGCGCGCCATACCCACTGCGTGGGACGTGCACCTGGGATGTCCGCTTACATAATGTGAGACCCACGTCGCGTTGCAAATAAATGTCCTTCCGCCGCAAATTTTTCCTTCCAACGTCTTTCCTCCCACGCAACACGAACAAATTCCCGGCAACAAACGCAGGACCAGTCGCGTCGCAGTGAAAATCGACAGGATCGGTTCACAGTCTTATTTCTGGCTGGGATTCTTCTTTTCCTGCGGCCTTCTGGTCCTGGAACCTCAAACTGTAAGTTCCTGCTGATTTCCTTCCATATCACCGTCTCAAATGATGAGAAATTAAACTTCCATGGCAATGATATCTATTTACATGATTATTGTTACACACTGAAAATCCTGAACCGACAATCATTTTCTCACCTCATGTTTAATCGTCTGTTTCGCGATCAATGACTAACGAGGTTCAATAGTTTGCTACGCATGGCTTGATGGCTGATGGGGTTCCGTTTGGTGGGTTGAAAGGCAAGATAGTAAATATAAGATGTTTTTTCCAGCGTTTTCGCCTGCAGTACCTACCGACTACCTCCCTATTGTGACGCTATGCATTTCGTGAGCTAGCTATGTGACTGTAAAAGTCACTTTGCAAATCTACCTTTACCAAGGCAAGTGGACACTGAAGCTGGACCATTTCACCGGGTCGACACTGAACCATGCACAACCCACCAGGCGGGACGTTCCTGCGTGCACTTTAATTACACGCGTCCCCTACGCTCTCATTTTCCATCATCATCTTCCCGTTTTCAAGTTCAATCAATCCCGTCACCACCATACGGACCTTCAACATGGCCAAGCCAACACTCGAAACGCTGCCTCCGGAGATTCTCCACCAAATTTTCAAACTCGTCGTCGCACAAAAAGATGCGTTCACTACCAGTCTCTGCTGTACGAGCAAGCGCATCCGCGAGTTCTCGAGCGCCGCGCTGTATGGGACCCTCACTCCCCATGAACCCTCGGGCCCAGATGAGCTCAGTCTTCCACGCGTCGTTGCCCTCTTTCACGCATTCGCCCTCAATCCACGCCTCGGCGAGCTCGTGCAGGAGATCGACCTCTTTCACCTGTATACATGGACGAAGTGGGAGCCTATCCATCTACAAATGTTCCGAGGCATTTACACCATGTGGAGAAGTGAAAAATGGAAGCTCTCCCCGGCCTGTCCCTGCCTCCACCTCAATTGCTCAACCAAGTCCAATACATGGTGTGGCTATCGGAGCTGCTCATCACGAAGATGCCCAACCTCCATACTCTCGCGATCAGGTCTCAAAGTTGGCAGCGGTATCACCTGCTCGGTGACGAAAAGCGGAATGGGTCTGAATTTTACAATATGGAGACGCTGGACATCGTCGCCAGAGCTGCTGGGGGGCGAGTGCTATTTCCTCACCTGAAGAACGTATGTATCGACATGCACGATTGTTTGAAACCGCTCAGTGATGTCGCGCCCAATATCGAGTCCCTCGAATTGAGCGATGTTAACTGGGACGCGTACGAACCGGCCGACATCCCCGACATCAATTTACCCCATCTCAAGTTTCTCGAGATAGGGGATGACTCTGTTGTCACAATGCGGGTGCTTCCCGAGCTGGTTAGAAGACTGCCCAGCCTACGAAAACTTCACTATGAGCATACGGACAGCGGGATATACTGTTTCGAAGGAGGTCCAGCCAATGTTTGCCCCACCCCTCAAGGCATCGTCAATCTATTGAAGCCCATCGCAGAGCAGTTGAAGGAGCTCAAGCTGAGCCATTTCGACCGATGGATCGTCAGGCTTTGTCATGAAACTAGGGTCAGCAGATACGCCCAGAAGTTCGTCGAACCCGCTGGCATCCTGGAGCCTCTGGAGTTTCTTAGCGTCCTCGAGCGTCTGGATGTTGACTCCGACTGTCTTTGGGTACAGCGACACCCGTATGTCAGAAGGTCTAACTACGAGAAGGTCATGCATCTCATCAAGTTGCTCCCCCAGCGACTGCAGCACCTTCAGTTCGACGGGCTCAACGACGATGACGCAGATGGCGACGACCCGGACCCCAGGACACACCACGTCAGAGTAGTTGCAATCGATGACGGCGACGAAAGCATGGTAACCACTGAACAACGGTGGTACAGCGTAGAGTATCCGCACGTGAGAAGCAACTGGCCCCGCGGCAGTTATGTTCATGAGCACGCTCATGATGGGCTCTTGCTGCTCCCGCGTCACTTACGACAACGGTGCCCCGACCTACAGTCGATGACATATCGCTTCCTGCCGAAAAGCCCCGGGCTTGGCCCGGACCAACTGCAGACTCTCAAGCAAGCATTTGCCGAGGTGGGAATCGCGTTTCACCCATCTGGACGCGAAGAGTACGAGATAGAAAAGCGATATCCTCGGGGTTCTCGCTGGCAGTTGGACGGCCCGGAAGTAGAGTAGTTCTGAGCTTTCGCGCAATATTTTGGGCGTTGTCTATCAGCGCTCATACACTCGCGACTTTGTAATTGTCCTTTGAGGGCTTTTTCTTCTTGGTTGATATTGGACAGACTTTGGAAACAAGTAGCGTAATGACGGCGGCAGTGTGGCAACGGGGAAGATAGGCAGGCTGGATGTGGTAGATTGGGACAGCTTAGCCAGTGTAACCTCCGATCGGACAGCAGCTCCTTGCCAGAGCTCAACCTTTGTAAATTCCGTATACTTCATTCTCGTACGAATATGATCGTGGAATCAAACTTTTGGTCGTGGAGTTTGCACAGCTTTTCTGGCCGGAGACTGCAAGATTCTTACCTTGATTTCAATCGTCTTGAAGCCCCTGTGTCATCATTTGAAGTGCCGGAGCGGTCTCCATCCTACCGTTGCACAGCGGCGGATTCAGCCAACCAGGATGGCTCATCTCGTGGCCTCCTGCCTCCGTCCAGAACTCCATGTCTTTCCATTCCCATTCCTTTCCTCATTTGCTTCTTGAAGCTCTTCTCCTTATCTCCGTCAGTTGCCTTCGTGGATTTTGCCCACTGCCATCCTAGATAGAGCTATCTCGAGCCTCGCGGGTGCTTTCACCTAGCACCGCCGGATTGTCGACTTATGCAGCCCGGTCTTGTCGGCCGGCGAGGCTCATTGATGTGCTATTAAAAGTGCGTTGTGATGCCTGGTCCGGAACAGTCGAACAGCAGCTGGGCCGTTGATCAGATTTTATAGCCAAAGGTCACACCGGGCCGGTGCAGGTTTCCGACACCGACATTCGGGATGCGGATCCGTGCAAGGACCGGGCCGGACCCGTGTCATTCACCTGCACCTGCACCGCAGGGAAGCAAGACAAGGGGAGAGACGTTCTAGAAAGGCGGGATCAGGGAGGGTCACTCCCCCAGGAAGAAAAAAAATTCATCATGTCATGGGGAGGAGCCCATCGTGAAACCCCCGCGTTTTGTATGAGAGAACAGGTATAAGCTCTCGGAGAATCGGGAATATTAGCTAAAAGAAACGAAGCCCCTAGCATCGCCGAAGACGGCTCGGCGGTGCGCGGCTCGGGGTGGGGTGTTCCGTCTCCGGCTTTCGGGGTCAACCCCCGCCGCCAAGGGGGGTGGGCTTCACCGTGGTGAGCACGCAATTGGAGACCAAGCAGTGAGAGATTTGCAGAAGCCACAAACAGCACAGTGCCCGCGGACTCGCAAAGTCTGGGGTTTCCAATTTTCGCGTCGAGGTCGAAAATAGAAGGTTGAGCACAGGCGTATTGGGGAAAACGGAAACGCTGATGCACGCTGCGTCCGGGTGACCCAAGCTTTTCGCTGAGGCGCGGGTCACAGGGCCGCCTGAGGTGTCGGCGCTAGAAGCAACGGTGCATGTCGCCATCGCCCAGTGCATATGCGTTGTTGCTTGGGCGAACCGTGGCATCTTTGTCGTCGTGACTTTTTCTGGGGTTTTGGCGGTCACCGGGTGATGGACTGGCGGTGGCATTCGTACCTGATCAGCGCCTCAACCGTGTGTGGTGTTGCGCTCGCGTATCGTGGGGAGCGGTCTAGGTTCGCACCAGGCAGGTTAGCTGCAGTAGCAATGGGCAGCAAGAGAGATCACCACCTCAGTGAGGTGCCGCCTGTGCCATGCCATCCCGCCAGGTCTCAGGTCGAGGTGAAGGGGGAGATGGTTCGCTGAGTGAGGGTAGCTGGGCTTGATCTAATCTGATTCGATCCGGTGCGGGTACCTCTGGACTGGACCTTCCGAGTTGGCGCGTCCGCATGCTGTTGCTGCTTGCTGGGTGCGCTGGCTGGCGCCCCCCTCCACCCAAACTCTCCCCCCACCCCCTGGCAGCAGCAGCAGCAACAGGATCGACCTGAACATCACCCATCCTTCCGTCAACCACCACCCCGGTGCCTGCCTTGTGTCGTCGACTTGCGATGGACTCAAACATCACATTTCTGGTCTCATAGTGTCGTTTCTTCCGCAAATTCGTTGCATGTTTTAATTCTCGTTCTCTTTCTTATGATACATCTTCTGTTGATATCTCCACAGGATCTGCCGAGACAATACATCCGTTGCGTCATCGTTTCCGGTTGGGAAAACAAGCATCAGCTGCGGCATCGGGGGATTCTCGAACCCCACCCCGCCCATCCCAATCCCCATCCCACGCCATCAGGTGCACCTCACCACACAGTACACTACACTACGGCCTACCTATTACACAGCTCGGCTCGGGTGTCAGGAACCGAGACCAGATTGGCAGCAACCCCAAGCTCGAGCATTGCTCGTGCGTCTGAACCGCTCACCGGCGCCCAGTCAAATATAGCTGGCCCCTGTCCAGCTGCCCTGGCCCAGCATGGTCGTCTTTGTTGATTTAGAAGAGGACGACGAACCACTTCATGTCCTCGAGGCCCGTCGTTTAGCAGCAGCAGCCGCCGCCGTCACCCAACGCATCGAAGCACGCAACCGCGAGTATCAGCGTCAGTTCTACAGGCCCAACATGGCTGCCGTCACCGTCTCAGTCCCCGTCCCAGCTCCAGCTATGCACATGGCTCCGCCTACTGCTGCTGCTGCACCAGAGCCATCCCGGACCTTCCAGAGTGCTGCCACTGAGGCTCTTGGCTGCTATCCGTAAGCTTACCCGACCCCGATCCCATACGATGTCTAACATGGACGGGCAGTGTCGTGATGGCCATCGCCGAACACATCGACCTCAACACCCTCGACAGTCTAGCCCGTACCTGCCGCATGGTCCGACAGGGCCTGCTTCAATACCGCAACATCCTCCTCTCGTCGACGCTACACTGCTCCAATGAGCTCGACCCCGTTGACCCGGAGTCAACCTTCCGCTACCGCGCGAGGGCGAGCAACTGGTACTACATGGAAGACGGACGCGCCTACAACGGCAAGAGCGGCAGCTGCGCCCGGGACCTGGTGACGGAGTGCCGGAGGTGTGAGACTGTTGTGTGCAGGGTATGCCGTCCTACGCCGTGCCGCGTGCCCTTGGCCCTCTCGCCGAGAGGGACTCCCCTACTTGTGTGAAGAGGAAGGCAGCCTACCAGCCTCCCCAAGGGGACATGCGGCATTGGCTCGGGGAGGAGCCGAGAAGGCTACACAAGAACAGTCGATCGCTGACACGTCATAACAGAATTGTGCCATCAAACCCCCAGCCAGTACAGTCCTCAAAGACCGTCATCGCAGGCTGTGTCAGCCTTGCGTCAAGGCCCCAATTGCCGCCCTCGTGAACCCAGCTTTGGATCCCGAGACACCGCTCACACACGAAGCGGTGCGACGGGAGATCTGCAGATGCGAGCTTGATGGTGTCTGGCTCTGCCAGCCCTGCGGGCGGAGCATGCGCGCTGCCGATCAGGATTACCGGCGGTATGTAACCTCCGCCACCAACACCAAAAAATTAATCTGCTAACAATTTTCAGCATCTGGAAATGGCGCGCCCATTATGGTGAAGTCCTTGGCGGCTTGGGTACAGGCATTGGCGAGGGCGATCGCGGTGTCATCTGCGGTCGCGAACAGGCCTGCGTCGGCGCCAAGGAGCGTGAGAACGAGACTGATTGCGACGCCGAGGATGCGGCTGTAAGTGGCGCCAACCTCTGGGAAGCCACGGACGAGGTGCATCTCGATACCGTGCGGTACCAAAGGACGCCAAGCCCGCAACTCGGCCCTGGCTATGAGAGGCACGAGATTGAAGGCATCGGCGGCGTTGTGAAGACGAAGCTGGTGCGGATGGTGAGTGTGGGTGCGTGCGTGCCCGAGTGGGACGACGAACGACATTCATCCAAGATTCTCAGCAGAGAAGCCAATGGCATCAGGAGGAGCTGGTGCGGCTGGTGCTGGAGGGTCATACCTGGAAAGGATGACCTGGAGAAGGCCGGTGTTGAGATGATGGACAAGATGGGTGTCAAGGTGCCCAAGCTGTGAGCGCTTGGTATGGCGGGAATTTCTACTATAATGTGATGATGACGATGGGTTTGATACTTGCTTCTAAGTAGGATTATATAGATCGCCGTGTGTAGCGGCGACCAGGGGAGACAATAACTGCCAGCAGACTACACTAGCTGGACAAACAAGAGGAGGCGACGTAAAAGGAGTGGTCAGAGGGATGGATACACAGCCCCAGGTTCAAAAACAAATGGGCCTGATCTAGTAGTAGTGTTCATGATTCTTAGAAGTGACGATGCAGTGCTTGACAAGCTTATCTCGCACAAGTTGATAGGTAGTTCATTAGGGCGTATTTGTAATGGCGAACCGGGGAATGAAAAAATTATACACGAGTTTCTATGAATTTTACTCATTGTACAGATATGGTTGGGTGTTTCGCTCTTCAGCCCTGAGCATGATTTCGTCCTTCGTCTCTATCCTACATCCCCTCCCACCGCCTGTTTTTTGTGTGTAAAACCTCCGTCATGGCACGTAGACACGCGAGCACGCGATCAAACACGTCGCAGCCTGCTTTTTTGCGTTTTTCTTTTCGTCCCATATTGATACAGACAAGCCTCATCTGCCATTTTCCCTCAACCTCATCCGCACGTAGCAGTCGTCCCTCGCAGACCGTAGGTTTTTCTCCTCTGCAAATATGTAGCCACACATCTCCAACCCGTTTTACAACTCGCCACGGAGGAGCATCTCCTTGCGGCGCGAGCGGTCCTCGCGGGCCTTTGTGCGGATCTTGCCCCAGCCCTCCTTGACGCTCTCGAGCTTCTGGGCGAGCTTCTCCTTGTGCTCGCGAGGCGCGGGGGTGCAGATGGTGACGAAGACCTCGGAGCAGTCGAACTTGCGGGCGAGGGCGGAGACGGACCAGGTGACGGGGTCGGCGGCGCGCAGGCGGCGGATCTCGGCGACGTCGGCGGGGGTGAGGTGGTAGCGCGGGTTGGCGCCGCGGGAGGGGACGGCGAGGGCCGGAGGCAGTTTTGTTCCTTCTGATGGTGTAGCCGCCGCAGAGGTGGAGGAGGAGGAGGCGAAGAGGTGGGAGAGGTTGGCGCGGCGGCGGGGGTCGGTGGGCGGGAGGAACTTGAAGGGAGTGTGGAAGACGGAGGGGGCGGCGGAGGGCGGGTTGATGAGGATTGTGTCGCCGGCGGTCGAGGGGAGGAAGTCTGGGTGGGGCGCGATCTTGAGGGCCTTCTTTGTGCGGGTTGTGGTCTTGTGGCCGCGGCGGAGGGTGAGGGATGGTGAGGATGAGGGGGATGGTCTGGCGGCGCCGCGGAGGAGGGTGGCCGCTGGGCGGGTTATTGTCCTTGCTTCCATTGTCGCGGTGTGTGGTGATGTGGTTTTTTGGTGGGCTGACCAGACCGGACTGGAGGGATCAATTGGATGAGAGGTTGTTTTTCGACTCGGCCGGCGTCGTCGTCGCTTCGGAGGGTGAAAAGGGCGGCGGTGTCCGGGTCGGCGCGAGGGCGGGAGGGGGTGGTGTTCGCGGTGGTGAGGCTCTCTCGTGATGGACCCTTGGAGGTGGTTTGAACATTGAAGTTTTTCGGAGCGTTGGAAATTTTGATTAGGTAAGGAAGGTGTGGGGATAGCTGTCCCGAATGGGGGAGCTCACAGCTCTGACTAATTACATAAGTGCATGGTGGCTTTATTGGCGGAAGCCAGAAAACCGTTTGCTTATGTAACTTGCATCAGCTTTCCCACGTTAACTTCTCTTCAACCTGCCTGACACGAAACACGTTATGGGATGTCTGTTGACAAATCAATTTGGCGAAAAATTGCTTCTCGAGCCGAGTCATCATTTCCGCCCAACAGTTTGAGAAATGCTATGAATTTGAAGCTGATACTGGCTGACTGCAATGTTTCTTCGATGAGGAGACCTTGGACGCTGAGGAAGTCTCATTAGGCCTCCCCTCCTGCCCCTCATGTTCCTCCCTCATCTCGCCGTGGATCGCTGGATGCGACTCGAGCCCGTCAAAAATTATTCGTCTTCACTGGTGCTCATCCACTCGAGATAAAACTTCAGTAATCCGACCTCTGTGATCGGATTCTTATAGCAGATCATCAGATTATTCGCTTTTCGGCCCGAGGAGTTTGGCATCGTCCTCGGGAACGACGTTTTTCGGCGCGGAAAGTCAAGACATTGCTTTCGCCTGCGTGCGCCTCCTATTCCCTCTGCCGAGCCATTTGCCGAGAACATTCATGTTGCAGCATTCCAGAGCATACCCATCCACTTTCAAAGGCCAGAGCAACGCGTCTTCCATGAAGAAAAATGTAGATCGCCATTGGCACGAGGGTCAATATCTCGACGAATGCCTCATGCCAAGACATGCTGATTTATTGCATGTGGTGTAATGTCTCCCTTGTCACAGAAACACTTGACAGAAACACTTGTATGTCGTACAGCTCTGGGGCTCACAAATAGAGTGGATGGCTAGTGATGACCAGCCCATCTGCCAAAAGCGAGGAACGGAACGAGGCGGGAAGAGGAATGGCTGTTGGGATCTTGGCATGATATCGCCATCTGCTCTTTTCTACAATGAGCTTCGCTATCCGAGCGGACACATTTAATTAACCGGGCCGGAGAACTACCTATGTTAGGCCCAACAGTTTTTTTCCATTGTAATAATCTTACCATTCCCATCATTCCCTTTGTGCCTCTCGTTCCTGTTCCTCTCCATATCACTGTTCCTGTCCCTATCGTCATCGTCGCTGCCGCCCCTGTTAACGTCTAGGTATGGCCACTGCTCGCCCGCATAGCAAAGCTCTTCCAGATTTTGTGATTTACGTCAGCGTGCGATGGACATGGCCCGTAATCTGAGACCTCCAGGGCCTGGGTTGACGATTGCTTTCCGCTTCGCCGCCCTCCACATTCCGGTAAGCCCTGCAACCCACCCCTTGACATATTTCGTTGAAAGACTGTCTCTGTTCATTACCTGCTTCATCCTGTAGAAAATATTCTTCCTCATAATGAAAGACCGAGGGAACTTAGGCAGAAAGCTTGTAAACATTCATTGATCGTGTTGTACAGTCATCAAAACCACTGGGCAATGCCGCTCCTCTTATTTTCGTGCTGGCCCCCACCAAACAATAGGTTGGACCTTGTCAATGTTTTCCGATGCCCCATTTGATGTGAACGCTGCCATATCCAATCAGTATGGCTAGGACTTCTACCTTGATCGCGGCCCTCGCGGCCGCAATACCTCTTTGTCTCGGCTTCACGGTTACCGCATCAGGCGACGCATCCGTTTTGGCCAACGCCATTTTCACCGGCCCCGGAGTGTCTGTACTATCAGCGACTTTCAGTGGATCAGCGACCAGTTCGGGAACCTTCACAGACGGCCTTGGTGGCATTGGTAACGGTGCAATTTTGACGACTGGATCCGCCGCGGGAGCTCTTCCCGGCGGTGACCATTATGTGAACAACGGAGCGGGCGGAAGCAATACATATTGCGGCACTAACACTTTCAACGCTGCAATTCTGAGCGTCTCTGTCGCTATTGCCAATGGCTACAACGGAGTTCAAGTCGAATTCATCATGGCCTCGGAAGAAGAAGGGTACGTTCTCGCCAGTAGTCCATCTTCCAAGTTCTATCTGATGAGTCAAGACTGCTGACAACTTCACAGAGGAAGCCCTGATCCCATCGGTATCTTCCTCGGCAGCCAGCAGTATGCCATAGGCTATGACGGGCAAAGAATCACCGCAACATCCCCTTATTTTGACCCGCCGATCGTCATCACGCCGCCTAACAGCGTCTCATCGTACCCGGGCTCGACTCCACCTCTTCTGGTCGGAATACCGGCTACCGGTACGACGCAGATGGTCTTTGCCATTTGTGACTTCAGTGATACGGAATGGGACTCCGCTCTCATGTTAAAGGCGGGTGGCTGCGTGCAGTGCAATTCTCAAGTCAAAATCGACTATGTGACATCAACGGTTATTGTTGCTGCGGGGCAGGAGTTCACATCGACGGCGAAGGCTTCCGGCACTGTCTCGGGGACCATCACCATTGGGGTTACTGCAACAGCTACGTCCACGTCGACCTCGACGACTTCATCGAGCTCAACGACTTCTGCAAGTTCGACGAGTTCTGCAAGTTCGACGATAGCGCTGTCCACGAGCAGTACTTCAACCGACTCTTCCCCCACGTCCACAACATCTTCAACGACGACATCGTCAAGCACACTCGCGTCATCAACCACGTCAACGGGACTCATCACCTCCACTAGTACCACCAGGAGCTCTTTGACATCAACGTCATCTGAAACTGCAACTATTTCTGTGACACAACCAATAAGCACAAGCACAAGCACAACCTCGACTCAAGATTCTACTGCAACCAGCGTGACTAGTTCCACCGAGAGCTCCACGACACCCCCCACCAGCCTATCGTCGTCCACAACTACAGTTCAACAGTCGACATCCGGCACCTCGACGTCCTCAACGTCTCAGAGCATTTCTCCCTCTGCTCCAACAACGTCAACGTCGTCCATTGAGACAACGACATCGTCTATGCAGCCCACGTTGCCTGAAATGTCGAGCTCGAGTACGACAATCTCTTCAGTAGTCATATCTCAGACTTCCCTTCAAAGTACTTCGGTGTTGTCCAGCGTTTTTTCGACAACTTCAGTCGCGTCGTCGACGCCCAGAATTTCCAGCACGAGTATTTCCATGTCTTTCCGCTTTACAAATTCATCATCAAGCGCAGTTCCAACACTCGAGCAGACGCCATCACCATCAACAACGACCAGTTCTGCAAGCAATGCCCCTTCCACGCCCACATTGACATCAGTTCCCGCCACAAGCGTCGTTACAATTCAGTCTTCAACTGGTGCGCCTCTGAGCTCAGGCAGTGCCCCTATATCACAAATCAGCTTGCCAGCCAGCTCTTCTTCATCTTCTCTGAATCCAGTCTCAACGACCTCCAGCAGTGTCCAAAGTACCCCCCTAAGCAGTCTCTCAATCGGCTCATCAAGCGCCCCTGCCATCAACCCACCAAACAGTCTCAGTATCAGCTCATTAAGCACTTCTGGTATAGGAACACCAGGCAGTCCTGTCGCCAGCTCACCGATGAATCCCTCGACAAGCCTTCCCAGCAATCCTCCCAGCAGCGCTTCCAGCGATGCACCCTCCGGCCTATTTCCCACACCCACAGAAACTGCAGAAACCTCCACTACCCAGACCTTGGTCGGCACTCCAATTCTGCTCTCAATCATTGCCGGGGCTGCAGGCCAGCCCCCGCCATCCAACACACCAGGTGCTCCTTAACTGGGCATGTCCCAAGCTAATAATGAAAGACCGCGTCTCTGCCCGAGCTATGTCATAGCGACGGATTGCCGAAGGAAGGACATCATCATTCCTTTTCTGAGGGATTTCTATTAATTCTCGAAGCTTGAGATTCTGGCTATCCATGCAGTATGATGCGGAGAATCTCATACCGGACCGTCTTCCTAGTTGCCATCCATGATCCGAGGCTGGCCTCTGTCGTCGTGCGGCTGGGGAATGAGGTATTACATGGCTCAGCGGACTGATACGTCTCTATGAGAGAGCGCATAATCCCTTCGAATGCTGACAAGAGGTATTTCCGACCATGTTTCGCATCCGGATCCGGCTACAAGTCTGTTGATAGGAGGCGGGGCAAAGACCAGCGCCTTTGCTTCCATTGCAATCTCATAACATTTCTTTAAATCTGAGAACTAAGAACTTGAGCTGCCGCGGACTCCTATCTTCCTCCTGCTCAGAGATGAACTTCAGGGAGAAAACGACGATGGGAGAGAGTCGTAGAGCGCTCTCGATGTGACTTTAAGCTAGACTTACGGATTCTGCACTTGATGCCTTATGAGAAATCACACATCTAGACCGAAGCTAAGATGTCAAAACGACGCCACTTTCTCATTCGGGTTTTAGAAATACAGAACAGTCCTTCAAACGCCATGTTATACACTCAAAAGAATGATTTGAGCCACCCCGCAGTTCTTCCCTGTCTATTCTGACCGGTGAATCATTAATCACTAACGTCGTCGGAGTCTCCTTAGCGCGGATGAAATGTGTAGGCTTCTAATCATGAGGAGTGACGACAGTACCATCAGCTTCAATTCTATACCCTTCAGGCAAGAACTGCCCGAAACCCCTGAAGAGTTGAGGCTTGTCCCGATAGAGGTCTCTGAATTTATACATGAGCTCCGTTACAGATATTCTACCACTGATGTTGAAGTCTATTGTCGCCATACTCACTAAATGATTGTGCTCACCTTTCAGCCTTGAAATCTGCCAAGATGTGTAAAAACGCGGTGTAAGTGGTCCGGCTGTCAGGATACGCCGATTTCACACAATCGAGAAAACCAAGAGCGTCATATTGAGTTGGGTCAGGTGGGTTCATCGTCGTACTTTTGATCGCGATAGTTCAATCAGCTTCAACGCGATGGTATTTGGATGAAAAACTCCTGAAGGCTTCTATTGAATGACAAATTTAGAAAAGCAGGTCTATAAGCTTGTCCAGGGCCGTCCTTATATCGTTCTTGCCCTATTTATTATCTATCAGGATGGTGCTCGATGAATGGGCGCACTTTGGAGGACTTGGACTATGGTGCGATGAGGAATACCTTGGTAGCCACCTCTGTAAGGCGACTTGCAACCGCTTTGTATACCCTGTAGGGCAGCTATCGAGGTCCCCGAGGACCTTTTATGCCCCTACCAGAGGCATCCGGCACTCCAAAAGGTGATCTTCTAGATGGTAGCCTCTTGAACCAAAGTGTAAACTAAAAGTCAAAAGAACGGCGAAAAGTGAATAAGCGAATTTGCACTTGGATCTAGGGACTTTGCGAAATGTCAAGGAATTCTCTATATTTATCGCGGCCGGCCGGAGGAAGCTTCCGTCACTATAACTACGATGGCATACCAATGTTCCAGCCTGTCCTATCCGTCGCATGCTCGAAAACAGTTAAAGCTCATGACGCATGTTTCAAATGCATTGATAGTTGCGCTCAATAGAAGTTCTGTCATTCTTTCCATGGCAGCGAAATCGTGAGAGACAGGATAAATGGCTTTAAGAAGCGCCTCGGTATAGGGCTAAATTAAGTCAGAATGTAGTCTATGTTAATAAATGACATGTTAGCATAGCTCTTCCTAAGCTGGAACAAACCAGGAAGACTCGCGATATGGTCGTTGCTGTGTTGAAATTCCACTCGACTCTATATGCACGGTTCATAGACTATTACACCACTAACTATCTTTCATTCTTTATAATCAAACATCTACCTAGTTCCCTTCAGACTCTACACGTTGTTCTGGACCATTTTCATGCCGTCCAATCAATGATTATTGAATGTAAAAGGTTGTGAAAAGTCTCACGTGAGCAGACTGGAGTTGGAGGACCCAAAGATGTTCCGTACCGTGGAGTTTGCCAGAATGCAACGCGGCGTTCAAAATGAACGCTATGACGCCTGGGCATCTCTTCTATAGATTGGACGGTGGTATAGATTGCAAAATACAGACAACCTTACCGATTCAGACTGCGTCAGGCACCAACCTGGGATGCGCATAGCTACTTCTAATCGACGTATAGCTTTGACTAGTATCGCTGACTTTCAACCTAAGCCTCAACTTTGCGTTGCCGTGGCTCTTTTCAATATCTATGGTCTTGCACAAGCCAGTAGTATCCCGCCGAGCCACTTCTGAGCTCTCTAGCATGACAGCAGCGACTAGGAAATCATTGACAGTTTTGGCCTGGCAGGTCGCCTGAATGATCATCAGGAGAAGGTCAGATGCCACAAGCGTCATACCCATTCCCATCCAAATGTACATTCGCTGCGAGGAAATGTCATTGACGATACAAAAGTCCGAGGTGACAAACATCAACTGAGAAAGCCCGGGCTTCTTAAACGATGACATGAAAAAGGCTGAACCGAATCGAGGGAACCAGCAGATGCACCCTGGAAGCCACCGCATGACTTCAAGTAAGAAGAATGCTTAACGCACCTGGGCGTACACAGATAGATAGGCAGCCTTGTGGATGGAATGCACGGGGAGAGTACAGCTGAATTGAAACCACACTACTGAGCTTAAGTAATTATTTATGTTAATGAGAGCTGAAGAAAGAAGCCGACCGGAGTAAGACGATGTCTAATTGATCTCCTTCTAGGCTTGATCAGATAGGCGGCCGCGAGTGTCTCTTTCGATGATAGGCCACTGATATCGTGGCTCAGCGGGCCTTGGAGGCAATCTTGATTTAGTTTATTGCCAGTGACCTATTTACTAGCTGGAGGTATGCATTAAGGCATGGTACTTGAACATCACTCATACCTACGAAATAACGACCATGCCGCCCGTGAATAAAAGCCATATCTCACGATTCTACACATCCGCCGTCATTGACTCAATGATGTGTTTTCGATTAACAAGACTGCTGACAGCCTGTGCTATCACGCTACACAAGAAAAGGATGGAAGACAGCCGAAGGCCGATCAACAAAAATCAAGGAAAAGAATTTTCAAGGTTTCAGTCCAAGGCCATCGCAAATATTGCAAGGTCACCGATATTTATTAAGGAAGACCAACCGGACATCGGGTCTCTTAAAAGCCGGGTTCTCGCACCGCCATCGACTGTCTAGATACCAAGGGGTTAAGAGGATAGGGCAAGAGTAGTTATGTGGATGTTGCTGTATTTGTGGATCAGCAGATGTAGAACTTACACCAAGATTCTGTTTCCTATGTATCGCCGCCAACAACCATAATATGAGCCCGTGTTTCCTTCCCGGAGCTATTGAAACTCTATTTGCCGCGCGGCAGACGGAAATCAGCGTGACTGGTACGAGTCAGGCCAGTATGCACCCTGTTTCTTTCTCTGGAGCAGCGATACATGATTGTAAATTGATTCGTCAGGCTTAGTCAATGATGGACAATGTTGCGGATGAGAGCCAGTGACAAGTTTCTGCACCCCAGGAGTCAAAATGACCAATTAAGCCACTAAATAGATTCTTAGCAGTATCATACCTCAAAGCTTGAAACCTTTACCCCCTCAAGCCTAACAGCCCACATGGCGGTATCTTCAGCACGCCGCAAGGCTATCTTGGTCATCGGCGCAACTGGCAAGCAAGGTGGCGCTACTGTTGAAGCACTCATCGAAGCAAACGCCACATCATCGCATCAGGTACTGGCACTGACAAGAAACCGGGAGTCCTCGTCGGCAAAAAGACTAGAAGTGGCTGGTGTGAAGATAGTGCAGGGCGACTTGAACGATGTGCCGGCCGTCTTTCGAGAAGCAAAGAAAGCTTTTGGTGGTTTTGAACCCCATATATGGGGTGTCTTCAGCGTACAGGTAAGCTACGTCAGCTATGTCCTCAGATTGAAATCGTTCAGCCGACTAACATGCTTAGACATTCATGGGAAAAGGAGCCTCGATTGAACTTGAAGAATTACAGGGCAAGGCACTGGTCGACGGCGCACTTGCGAATGGCGTTCAACACTTTGTGTACGCCTCAGTCGACCGAGGGGGAGCGAAATCCTACGAAAATCCCACGAGCGTTCCACACTTCAGAAGCAAACACAACATCGAACATCACTTGGTCGAGAAATCGAAGGGGAAGATGAGCTGGACCATTCTTCGGCCTGTTTTCTTCATGGACAATATTGCATCTGACTTTGGTTCCAAAGCTACGGCGACGTTTTGGAAGATCGGGTTAAAAACTAAGCCTCTACAGCTTGTAGCAGTAAAGGACATTGGATGGTTTGCCGCCCAGTCTTTTCTTCGGCCAGCAGAGTTCGCGAGTCGTGAAATCTCAATTGCCGGAGACTCATTATCTCACAGAGAGGCCAACGAGATTTTCCGGCGTAAAGCTGGTCGCGACCTGCCGGGAATTCCGAACTTGCTTGGAAGATTGTTACTGAGGGTGGCCGGTGACTTTGGCAAAATGTTCAATTGGTTTAGTGAAGAGGGTTACGGCGCTGATGTTGCGGCATTGAAGATGGAGCACCCGGGGCTATTGACTTGGTCTAACTGGCTGGACGATGAAGGCAGGCGGCTGGTGGTACAGCAGCCGTAATGGTGTCTACACTGTTTGAGTTTGTTCTGATTGTTCCCCATCAAATATTCTTGTCGACGGTCTCGTTTGGCCAGCTAAATAGATCTTATTTTTCCCCGCTCGTGTGTCCTTGACGGCCCTCCCCGGCACCCTCTGATTTTCTCATAATTTCTAGAGTAGAGAGTTTCAGGGCCGGCATCGTGTTCATTTAGTCTGGCAAGAATCCACCCCGCAACAGAGCCTCAACGCTGACGGCAAACAATTATGAAAGAGGACACAAGAAGATGAAGTTGGCAGTGGTGCGCAATTGACTAAAATATACCAATTCAGGGACCTTGATGAAACTGGTTCAAGCCGAAGTTACCCACTAGCTTGATCGTCAGTAAATATTCTCTGATAATCTCGTCTTTCTTGGCGGACAAGTCCTCCACATCCCAGTTGACGCTGATTACACGACCGTCCAGGAATTTGGCTTCGTTCCCAGTTAGCCTGACAACGGTACCTCCAACCAATTCAGGGGTGTCCCAGTCGAAGTTTTTCATCTGTAGCATGTTTGTATCGACCAAGCCAGGGTTCAAAGAAATGGTGGTGATATTGGGGTAGCCTGCAGAGACATCGCTGATCACCTTCTGACTCAGAAGTTCTGAGCGGCCAGCTTGCTAGCGCTGTAGCCAGCAGCCAACGGCGATCTTATCCAGGCTGCGACTGTGCTCACATAGATGATAAGTCCCGCAGTTTCTGGGGAAGAGAGAGACTTGATGAAGTGATTCGAGACAAGGTAGGTTCCTAGAGTGTTGATCGTCTGTGAATGATCAGCTGTCAGACCGATACAATCAGACAGCAGCCTTCATTCGCGCACCAATTGCTTCCACCATAAAGAAGGTTTTTCCTCGTTAATATTGCCCATCGTGTTCATGAACTCATCGTTGTGAATGAGGATATCGATGGGACCGAAGGTCTCGGTCGCTTTCTGGAAGACGGAGGCTATCGGTTCTTTCGTCGCTGATGTCAGCTACCCCGAAATGCACCCTTGTGTTTGAGCTCCTCGACATTGGTAGCAACAAGCACAATGCGGGATGCGCCAGCCTTGGCAAGCGACGGAACAATTCCCTGCGAGTGGGGGCATCAGCAGTGCTCACTTCGAATATTCATACGATCGATGTAACTGTAACGGCAGATAACTTGCATGACCAGACCATTTACCCCCGAAGTCCGGACCTCGGTTGACAAGGATATTTGGGTCGCTGTCCCGCGCGGTATTTGCGGGACCCATGAGCACTTTCGGACTTTAGTTCCAACTACTGCTAATTCAAGCTTGAGATTGATGTGCAAGCATTAGTAACTCGTGGGATATCAGGCTTTTGTCAGCTGCTGCTTACGAGCCCACGAATTCCTCGTTCTAATCTCCCTTATTCAACACCAAAACAAACATAGGTACAAAATTTATCCTTCAAAATGACTGTATCAAGTCAAGCTTTCGCTGGCGCATGAGACATGCGCCATTTCGTGCCGAAATTTTCGCGGTCGTCACAAAACTGGGCGCAACGAACGGAAGAATGTCTCCACTAATTTTAGTGCCATACTACCTTAGGCGGCGGCGTCGTTGACTGGATGAGAGCTCTGCGATTCTCGAGGACAGTCCCACTACATGTGCTGATTCCTAGAGGTTGCCGCCTGTCTTTAAGGACATGAACGAATTCAGCTAGGGATCTTGCTTTATGCATAATATTGCTAGAAGAATTTGATGGCGTTTGGCTTGCAAACGCTATCTGATGAACGTTATCTCGTTCATGGCTAGATTTGATGTGCAACTGCAACCAGCTTGCTCCATCCTTTGCCCGCCGAATCATTCCGTTTTCTGCTGACGCCTCAGTTGTCTGTAATCTAAGGTTGGTTAATGTGCACGTTATTTCAACTCGGAATTTCCTTTGTCTTGAACGGAAATAAGTTCCTCAAATTGATACGCCGCATCATTCAGCGCGTCAAGGTTAGATAGGACTCGCCATAGTGTATATATGCACGGCCCTTCGATTGCCATTCCATTCGTGTAACATCACATATAATTGGATACAACACTGCAAGCAGCCCTCTATTCATCTGCAACGCAAAATCCTCGAGCATAGTCTAGGAACACGATCTAGATAAAAAGAAAAACAACCAAGTCTCTCTCATCGGGACTACTCTACCGAGAAGATAGATCAGACCCTAGCACGGCAGATGCATCTTGACAGCAGAATATCTGGCATTGGTCCCATAGCAGTGACTGCGTACGGGTTGACGTTGATGTGGCTTTTGGTGTAGTGGTTCCTGATGTGAAGGAAGTTTGTTGTGCTTCCGAATGACGGCACGTTCCAGTAAAGATTGCGAAGCCAGTCATGAAGATGAGGATATCCGGAGCGGATGTCTCGTACGTTACATTTGAAATGGTATGTGTCGACCGGCTGCAAATTCTGACAGTCAGTTGAAATTTTGTCGCTTTCAAACACAGAAATTTGAATTCCGAACTACGGGACATAGAGTGCGGTTAAGGGCATTGCGTACGTCGAAGCGAATCAGCGTCACATATCTGCATCCATCTAGTCAGCTTAGAAAGCGGTGAAAATGCCTCCTAACTTACAATCGGATGTCCACTTCCGTGATGTGAGGTCCAAACCAGTACGGGCCCTTACCAGACGCTAGATGGGCCTCGGCCCGGTCTAATGATCTGAAAAAACCAGTCAAAGCATGGTCGTATGCCTTTTGACTTGTCGCAAACCCGCACTTATAGACACCGTTGTTGATGTCATCATAGTGCCACAAATTAACATCGTCGATCTGCTGCTGAAGTGGCTCAGGGTACAGCAAAATACGACTTGAAACAGTCAGCGAGGCTTTAGAAAAGGACACATGATGAAGCAAGCGTTGTGGTAAGCTAAACTGACCTCTGTTGCAAACATGCGAAGGATTTCGCTGCTCTCCTTGTTGACAATCACTTTCTGTATCTTATCGTATAGGACCGGGACAGAGAACCTCGCAGAGTAACTGGGAACAGTTTCAAAATAGATTTGGCGTAAGAGGATAAAGTCGTCGTGGTTGGGATCCGGAATCACGCTCTCGCCATCGATACCAGCTTCAGATGTTGTTGGAAAACGCCAGCCTACACGATGCAGCCGTTAGAGATGAAACCGTAGTGAGGACAATGCTAGCTCCAGGCTGCCTACCTGTTCCAAAATCAAGGTGCCAGTGCACGGCGGAAACCGAAATAATGTCCTCGAGACCTTTCAGCTTTCGGGCAATAATGGTTCTGTGGGCCTAGCGGCGAAGTACGAGCGTCAAAGACATAGAAACATCAGAGATACCATGCAACATCTGCTTACCCATGAGCAAGCCCAAATAACATACATGTGATATCTGCCTCTTTCAGGTGTAACCTGGAGCCTGGTTCTTGGGAGATAAAATTGCGGAAGACAGTGGCTGCCGCCAACGCGTACGTATTACTCACGGACTCATGGATGCGCGCGGCTGTTACGTCATGTTAACTGACCCCAGTTTCTAGCCCTCTGCAGCCTTGGACAGTAAATCAGTCTTCGGTAATTTAACGCTAGCACCCATTGATGACCACCCATTTGTAAGCCCCTCTCTAAGCAGTCGGAAACTGTGAGTTGGTTTGTCTTGGTAAGTCAGGCGACTAGCTTAGCAAGATACCACAGCGGGATTTGAACTTCTCATCAATGCGGAACTGCACGAGATGGAGTAAGATAAGTAGATTTGCGGTCCTCTATCGTTTCTGGGATTTGTCTCCTAACGACAGTCCAATTGCATCATACAAAATATCGCCTATTGCTTTTTCCTACATCGTTAATCCGTTACTACAAAACGAGGCCAACAATGCCGTCAGCTTCTCGTACAGTTGTCAATGTGTTTGAAGCACCCGAACAAGCAGAAGGTGCTGGAGCTCGAGTACGCCGCGCCATCGGTAGCACCCTGAAACGCAATTTTTCTCCGTTCCTCATGTTGGATCACATGAGTGGTAACAACGGAGCCGGCTTTCCTGATCATCCCCACCGTGGTCAGGAAACCATCTCATATATCTTGAAGGGATCTGCGGAACATGAGGATTTCGCAGGAAATAAGGGCATCCTGCGAGCGGGAGATCTTTAGTTTATGACTGCAGGCAGAGGCATCATGCACTCGGAGCAACCGTTGCCGGCGGAGGATGGAAGCCCCAGTGTCGGCTTTCAATTGTGGGTCGATTTACCCAGGCATTTGAAGATGTGCGAGCCAAGATACCGCGATTTACACGCGGGTGAGATTCCTCACGTCCAGCTCGACAATGGCAGGGTGCACGTCAAAGTTATCTCAGGCAAATGCGGAGGGGTTGATTCGGTCAAAGACCTTGCGTACACACCTGTCTGGTACTTGGATATCGAGATCAACCCAGGTGGCAGTATCTCCCAGCCCTTGCCCCAAGATTGGAATGCGTTCGCATACGTGTTTGAGGGTTCTGCGTTATTTGGAAGTCGGGATTCAGGGCCAGTTGTCGCAAAAACCTTCAACGTAGTGATTTTGGCCAGGGACGGGGATAGCATCGACATCGAGGTCCCGGCGACTGCAGACGGCAATGCGCGTTTGATTCTGATCGCGGGACAAGTTCTAGACCAGCCAATTGTGCAACACGGGCCGTTCGTAATGACCAGCCAGCAAGAGATACACCAGGCGTTTGAGGATTTCTATATGCATAGGAACGGATTCGAGAGGGCCAGGAATTGGCGTAGCCAGAGATCGAAGAAAGCAGCACGTAGAGATCACATTGTTTAACGCACGAATTAAGACTAAAATAACCTTGCGCGATACAGTTCGTATGGTGATGTCCACTAGGGTTCAGCGGCATTCCGCAACGGCTCTGATGACACCTCAGGGGCACTCAGGACAACATCTGGCTGTTCAAGCGCGCTCAGTTCTGAGATGTTTGCTGAAAGTCTGCTCTACTCTTTCGTCAAAGGCAAACTTCGTATTCACTAGACAAAAATGCCACCTTTCTCGCAATGGGGACGTTCGCACTTCACTAGGCATTTCCCCTCCCTCTCTTCTTTTCGTAAGATGAGAAAATTGCTCACTGTGGATCAGAGATCTCCTTTTACCACCCTTGACTTAATCTCACCCAGAAAAGGAAAAGACCCCAGACGTTTCCACACCTTTACTGTTCACTACAATTGATTTTCTAAAGACTTTAAGATTAAGGGAGGGGATAAGGCAATGTATCTGGTTCTGGCGTTCCCTGAAGACAATCATTCCGTGTTTTCTTTTCTAAAGCCTTACCAAAGAGGCACAGCTTCAAACGTACAGGTCTGTACGCCTAGTTTGTGTGACAGCCAAGCTACCGCGCGGCAACTGCACCTACTTTAATTGCTATCCATCTCGGTCGCCTTCGGATCCCGACGTTAGACTCTCGCTAGCGGGTTCGTGAACCAAGTTCCGCGGAAAATGTCACACACGCCGTCGCGGCTCCTACAGCTTGCCCACTCGATGCCGCAAAAGTTGCAGATGGTTATTGACGCAGAGGGCGGAAGGATCAACTACTAGCGATTCATACGAATCTACGCCTTTTCAGAAGTGCCAATACTGTCGCCAAATGTGCCCGTTTGGGTATGAGATCCGCTCAAAAGTCACGCACTAACTTCTGGGACCCCGGAAGAGGTGTATGCACTGGGTCGACAACCTGAGACCTCAATGTCGTGGAATTGTCAAACGAAGTAAATTTGAAGCGAAGTGGTAAAGACTTCATACTGTCGGAGATTGAAGCGGAACTAAAGCTGCTCCGGGCATAGCAGCTTAGGTTATCTCACGAGTGGTTCCCTCACATTAACAATCATTGCAAATCCTTGGTTTTGTAGCTAAAGAGCTGCGTACGCCTTTCGGAGAGATGATAGGATTCGGTCGTCTCTCCGACGTTCATGGCTGTGGTATCCATCCAAGAAAGCCCCTTTTGGAAGCTGCCTCGATACTGGCCCTGCATCGCCAAGGCTTGGTCACTTCGACGCCTAGGTTATGATCTACTCGTCACCGTGCCCTCGAATTAGCTGAGTGCATAGGATATTGAGCCCATCTCGGGAAGCCCGCGTTTAGCGGAGGATCGATATGGCCTTTCGAGATCCCAGTGCGACGGAACCCATGCAGCGGTCACATCTCATTGAATTATCAATCGTATTGACTCGTGAAGTATCTAGTCGGTTGATGTCAAGACTCACATGAGATAAAAGGCACCTTTCTCTCACCGAAAACCATGAGATTCGGCACCTCATCAATCCCACTATCTTTCCTCAGGGTCCGTCGCCACTCTCTGATCCCACAATCCTCCCTTTAGCTACCTGTGTACCACAGTCTCAAGATGGTTAAACCCAACATCATCAGAACGATCGTTCTGGGCATGGCCTCGGCTGTCTCTGCGACTTGCACCGACCCGGCTCAGCGGAAGTCATGGTATGTCAAGCATGAGCTTTTGACAATTCTCACCATATCGTGCTAAGAAAGTTCACAGGTCGGCTTTGACTTCTGCGCAGAAGGCCGAGTACATCGATTCAACTTTATGTCTCATGGACCCGGAGAGGTCGCCTTCAATCTCTCAGTACGCAGGATCCAAGACTATATGGGAAGACCTCCAGGTCGCTCATGTAGCTCAAGTTCAATTCATCCATCGCGTTGTAACAAAGCCCCCATAGAGATCAGGAATCTCGTCTCGCGATATGTAACGGTATAATAACTTGGCTTCAGGGTGCATTCCTTCCCTGGCACCGTTGGTATATGACGGTCCACGAGAACCTTCTCCGTGAACACTGCAGTTACACCGGACCCCTTCCGTAGGTCTACCTTTAACCTTGGCTTGAAGCCCCGTCGTAGTCCCATGCCATCTGACAATAACAAGGAAACCTGTGCTGACTGGAATCTGATAGGTACTGGGATGAACAGACGGATGAGGCCGCAGGCCCCCTGACATCAGCCAGTATTTGGGGCAACGACCCTGCCACCTCCTTTGGGACTGGTGCCTCCGATAGCAACGGCTGTCTTGTCGATGGGCCTTTCACCGGTGTCGCGTACGACCTCACCGCCAATCTCGAGAGGGGTGCTACCCACTGTCTTTCCTACAAGTTGAACCAGGCACAGTTCGATCTTGCTGCTCAGGATATTGTTGACGCTTGCGACGCACTTGAGACCTACGATGACTTTAACAACTGTATTGGAGGCTCGCCTCACACCTCTGGTCACTTTGCCATTGGAGGCACCGTATGTCAAACTGTCTTACCCCGCCGTTGAATCACTGATTCACTTCAGACAAGCTAACTCAAATGTGAAAGATGGATGACGTGTCCCTCTCCCCAGCCGATCCTCTTTTCTTTATGCACCACACCAACCTGGACCGAATTTGGTACGAGTGGCAAACACGAAACGAGTCTCGCTTGACGGACATAGCTGGACAGAACGTAGCTACGAGCACCATCTTAACTTCGTCTCAGCCGAAGAGCCTTCCCGAGTCGGCATTCGTCCCTTACTTTGGAGATAATGGCGATGTGACCACCTTAGATCACGTTATGTGGATGGCCGGGATCGTCCCGAATATCACCATTCGTGAGGTTATGGACGTCAAGAGCGAAGCAATCTGCGCCGAGTATGTTTAAGCATATCACATGCCACTACGATTTTGCCCTGGTGTGGTTCTGACGGATTACTACTACGTTCGTTTTTCTCATCTGACATTCAATAACACCATCTTTCAGAGATGCAATGGATGAGCAGCGTGTAACATATCTCAATAGATGCTTGTCGATTTGATTTACTTGACGCTGCCCTTAATGCGACCATAAATATTGCAGTTATGAAAACTTAGTTTATTCAATTATCCGCAGATCTTTCATCATGAAGGTGAAGAGAAGGTGGTCAGTGGTAGGATGGGCTCAAGGAAAAGGTTTTTGGTATTATACCAGCTCCAAGTCATGGTTAACTGACCTTAATACATTGCATCCGAATCGACATGAATGTCAGGGGTCTCCTTCTGTCTCTATTGAACTCAACCGCCAAACATCCATCATCAATCTATCCTAGACACTGCCTCTACGTATGTCTCTCTTGCATCAACACTAGCTAATACGAAAAGAACCTCCTCGAATAACAAATACTTGGCTCCACATACAGTAGAAATGATTGATCAATACGGGCGAGTGGAAGATTATGATCCCGGTTCTCATGTGAGCGGAGGAATAAGCTGCTGTTAATCTTTTGCCTCAGCGTACCCATCCCTTCAAACATCCAAATCCATACCCTGCCGGGCAGCAATCACGTTGGTACAAAGCGCGTTGATTCGCATGTAATTCTCAAATCCATCGATGCCGACCACGAAGGGGTTGGCCGCCCCAGTCTGACGATGACCCAGAAGGTCAGCATGGATCAATGCATGGTCGGCAATTTGGTCGTTTGAGACCAGCGTGTCAACGCCCTTCTCCTTGGCCACGTTACCAAATCGGTTCTGCGACACAATCTTCTGCTCTCTATCGGTCTTGGCTGCGGGGATGCCCGTGCCGCCATTCATACCAGCGACATGGGGAACGCCTTTGTCAAAGACGGCGGAAATGAGGGATAGAGTACCAGGGGTATGGACCAGGAGTGAGTATGGCAGTAAACGTGACGTTGCCAACAGTAAGCTCCTGCTCATCAGCGAGGACTTCGTCTTTCGATGGTGGTGTCGGAATTCCAGGCATCAATCATCAACTCCGCTTCTCCCAAACCATCTGGTGCTCGTCTTCTTGAAATCAGCAACTTGGATTGTAGCAGAACATGCGTCTGTAGCCCGAAGTTGGCGATACACGATGTCTACGTAAGATTACCGCAGTCTGGCGCACGACTGTACCCGCCTGGTTCGCCTGAGTCCAAACGAAGACGACAACGCCCCGATACAATGTCAGCTTTTCGATTATTCTCTCGCTAGCGCAAGAAGAAAAGAAACCCATCTTTACGAAGCTCTGTATTATTTTTTGGGGCTCTCCTACGAAGTCTCAGACATTTATTACGTATTCGGGCATCTTACAGAATACAGAAAACCTTCACGCAGCACTTCCACGCCTTCGAGATTCTGCCCTCGAACGAATAACATGGATTAACGCTATCTGCATCAACCAGGATGATTTGGACGAAAAGGACGTGCAGGTTCAACATATGGCAGAGATATGTGCCAGAGAAAGCTGTGTTATCGTCTGGCTTGAGAACGTGACCGGCGATTACCTGATTCATGGCGAGTCGGAGGCCGGTGGCCGCCAAGCACTCCAAGCGTTAGAAGCTGCCGCAAGCAGATCAACAAAAGCCCCCCCTGAGACTTATGAATCTCACGACGAGCAGAAAGCACCTCCTCAGAACGAGCAGGATCGGCTGGCGGTTGAGAAACTGCTTGCGAGACCGTGATTTCGCCGGGTTTGGGTAAGCCGTGACTTAGCTTGGGCGAACAGGCAGAGCCGGCGATTAACGACATGGTTTCAGGTGCTTCAAGAGGTTGCTGCGGCCCGACATGTTCTCATCATGTGCAAGTTCGCTGAGATTGATGGTCAAGCTTTCTGCTCGGGGTTGAGCCAAATGAGTGGCAGTCTGCTTCTGACGGATGAAGACACTCGGTCTTGGATTCGTTCAACTGTCAATCTCATTAGGGGTGCAACACTTCGTCCTAAAGGCGTGGTCAACGCCTCGGGGCAACTTTCTCTACAGATCTCGTCTCTCGGGTATTTGATAGAAATGCACTATACCCGGGAAGCTACAGATCGTCGAGACAAGATTTATGCCTTACTTGGCATGAGCACCAACAGGCCCACTGGCCCGGTTCCCAACGGCCGGATAACGTGGGAAAATCTATTTCCCCACGTTGTTGAGTCACTATTCCCGGAGTCCTCGTCGATTACTACAAATGATGAGAATGAGGCTATATTGATCAGAATTACAGGCTGTGTTATAGGCAAAGTAGACCGGGTGGAAACCAAAGACAGTTGGTATGGCCAACAATTGGTGGGCATCACCCTGCATAAATCCGACGCCGGTGATGAATGTTTCTATCAACGCCAGCCCTCTTCGGACTGGGTCCTCTAACCAACAACCAAGGACATTTGCGCAGGCGATATAGTCTGTCTCCTGCAAGGCACATCACTTCCCACAATCGTCCGAGCATACCAGGACTATTGTTCCGTTGTCGTAATTGCCGTCGATACAGACACGGATATAGCGCCTATTACAGATGCTTGGCGCAAGAAAACCCAGTTCGACTTTCTACTTACCTGGAGCTGGAAACCAGAGACGTATCCAAGAAACCTCAACGACTTCCTGGATGCCCAAGGTCTGGATCCAATGAGGTGCACCAGCTTGCAGATTCCAGATGACTTCAGTACTGCAGTGATGCTCCTGGAAACCGAGCCATATTATCCGGCAATGTTGAAATTCCATTCAATCATAGTTGCTTACCAGAAACACCCTGGGGAGGCGGGTATTCTTCGTTTGCTAGACAAAGCCTTTATGGGGAGCTCCCGGTATTACACTTACGTTCATCACATGTTAAGGAACTCGATTGGCAAGAGGAGAGGGTATGGCGACGTGACGGGAGACTATCTGACTCAACTCGCATCAGCCCTTGCATGGGAACCAATGGCGTTTTTACTTGATACGCAAGGAGAGAGTATCACTGTCACCGAGGGCATCCTGAAAGCTGCAGCAGAGAACAGAGACTGTGGTGTAGCAATCATAGAAGTTCTCCTCAGTCGCAGAGATTTTCATACCAGCACTACAGAGAGCGTCATCATAGCCCTAGTAACGATTGAAGATAGGAGGCTCTACAGGGAGAAGTGGGACACGGTGGAAGCCCTCCTCAAAGGGTGGAAAGGGGATCGGATTCCCATCACTGAGAACATTCTCGCAGCAGCAGCAACAAACAAAGATATGTGCCATTTTTTCATAATGTAACAACTCATGGATTGGAGCGGGCACCAGGCTATTGTTACAGAGGAAGCTCTCATAGCAGCAGCAGAAAACAAGGTTCTGGGCAACTTTCTTCTGCAACTTTCTTCTGCAATTTTTCCTTCGGTGGAAATGGGGCCGTGCTACAATCACCGAGAAGGGGCTCACAGCAGCAGCAACGAACGCGAAGATACACACCAAGGTTCTGAAGGTCATGTTCTACAAAAGAACTGGAAGCGATCTATCCGCCCCATGGGTAGAAGATCAAACTCAAGTTACTGACCAGGTCCTCAAGACGGCGTATCAGAATTTGCCTGATAGCGAGGGCAGGTCCATTCTCTACAGACACATGGAAAGCAGAGGCATGAAGATTTGATTCAATATCCATAGCTGCAGAAGATTGTGAATGGTTTTCTTGCGGTAGCAACATACATACCCTAGATATCTATCGTGCAGTACGCTACTTCTTTCTACCAAATCATCGGGGTTGAGATGAGTATCTAATAACTGCATACCCATCGCTTAATTGAAAACACCACCGTTTAGATAGTAGGGTACTACTGGCTGCGATGCTCAATACATCATCACATGAGGCAACACGTGTGGCCTGCATTGCCGACAGACGGCTGGATCCGAGAAGTGTGGGTCCCCATCCAAGGTTTTGCCTTGGCTTTCTCCCCTCTGTTGCCAACGCAGCTTGCGCAGCCCAAGAACCGGTGACGTCTGCGGTCCAGCCTCCCCCTCCAACCCCCAACCCCTGGATCAGCGGCGGCGGTTGGCCGGCGAGGCGGGCAGTCAACAGTCAACACGGAGGGGGGCGCGCGAATTCTACCGCTTCTCTTTCGGCTTCGCAAAACAGCTAAAAAAGAGTTTTGTCGATCGCGGTGAGAAGAAAAGAAACCACGAGGCTGCAGGCGGGACAAGCGGGTTGAAAAAGGTTCTTGTGAAGCTCTCTCTCCCGTTCGGCTCGTTTCATGTTTGGTTGTTGCTCCTTGTGATGGACGTGTTTTGGTGGTTTTAGCAGATGCTACCGCGGCGCGGCGACGGCGAAGCGTCTGGTAAGATGGAGGGGTTCTTTTTCTTTCTCTGGTTTCTTGGTCTTGTTACTATCTTGGGAATAGGAACCCTGCCTGCACCGGTCGACCGTTGCGCGGGGTTAAGTCATTGGCTACTGCGGTAGAGGCAAGGTCCCTTTGCACTTGGGGCCAGGGCCGGCTTTCTTGCTAGGGGCATGAAGAATGCAAAGGGCACTTGCAAGAGTTCCCAACGGAAGGCGTTGGAGCGACTAGCCCAAGATAGCCACGTCGTTGGACCCCTTTTGAAAATTCTTTCTCCGTCGATGACTGTTTATTCATGCCATGGAATTGTTTATGCGGGAAAAAAAAAGGACCTTGGGCGCAGTGACGTGCCTTGTAGGGCGCCAATCATGGGCAAGGCGGCGGGAAGCCCGATTAACACAGGGATTCGCGGGGAGGGGCGCAGGCAATGCTAGGAGCGCAGCAGCCCGGAAAGGGACCTGGTTCTGGGCAGGAGGAGGGCGTGGGAGGTGGGTTCCGTCATTGCTGTTGTCGGGCGGCATTTACAGCAGCGTTGAACGCCGCCTGCGTGGTGCCCCATAGAACCGCCCTATCTTTTCACCGTCACATAGGCACATCGATATGTGTGATTGTGACTGTGATCCCGTGGGGACGACGCGGGACCGAGGCTGACGGTAGACAGGCAACAATAGCGGTAAAGCCAAAGTAGGAAGGGATCTCATTGGGGGGAGGGAAAAAAGGAAACAAGGCCAGAGAAAACAGGGAAGGGGAAGCTTTGAAGTTGGCAGCAGAGAGGAGAGGCATCGAGCTGGCCCCAGGGATGGCTGTCTGTTGACTCGCGCAGCATCTCTCAAGCAACCCGCCTAAAGACCCGGAGATGATGTGGCTGTTCCAACCTTTTGGGAAACAACCCGAATCCCCGTCTGAGGTAAATCGAGCCTGTACCATGTGAGTCTGGAGCAAAGAAACCTTCGGGAGCCTCCCAAGGGGCCCCGTAAAACGAAGCTTCCATCGAATAAACGACTCAGAGGGGCGTCCCCTGTTCAGATGAAAAAAGGCCGCCAACACGAACAAATCACCATCCGCCATTTCTGGCTTGCGAGCTCTCTCCACTATGGGGTTGATATCAACGGGAAAGACGGGTGTTTCCCGAGGCATGATGTTTTGAATCAATAGCGTCGACGGAGCATGAGAACAATAGAACCCCGTGGAAACGCGGTCTCGCGCGTATGGTGTCTAAGACATTGAATCTCTGTGTACCATTAGATTTCTGTTTGGATTTTCCGCATAACAAGAAAGGAGGGGTCACCGGCCAGGGTCCAAATCGTGGAGCTAGCCAAAAGGATGCATGCGTCACTTGGCGACTGACGGGGCAAGACAGCGGAGGGAAGTTCTCACGCGAGCGCAAAGTTCATGCCGGGTTGGCAGAAGCAAAGAAAGGGAAATGAGGCATGCGAAAAGGGAACAAATTAGAACATCGAGAGACGCGTCCAAAAAAGCAAGTTGGGGACGCGTTCGAGACGGATTGCGAGGCGGCGGCCGGCCGGCCGAAAAAACACACGGACAATCAGCCCACGCAAAAGCCGCCCGCCTGGACTCGATACACGCCAGCGACGCAGGGCGCTCGAGGTCGTTCGCTTCCCCGCGTATCCATTCGTCGGTGTGCTGTAAGTGCCAGAAGTGATGAGATGAATACGAAGCACGAAAGGGGCTGCAGGTGTCAGGAACTTGGGCTCTGGTGAACGGAACGGCTGGAAGTCAAGAGAATGTAAGGATACTCGAGTTAGTCATGAGATAGGTTCGTTGGGAGGCTAGGCGACGAAGAGAGAAAGTTGATCACCCCTGAGCCCCTTCCCGAGTTCGGGCCCAACGGAGGCATCGGGGTGACTAAGTTGACGAGCGAATATCTGGCAGTCGGCTAGCTGGACCGCCTGCCCAAAGGCTAACCTTGGGCACGATGAGGACGGGCGACGACGAGGTGCCTGAGCTACGGCCTGGCACCTGCGGGATGTCGGATCGCCCTGAGCAGATGTGTTGGGCATCGGATACGGAGACTTTGGACGGGGAAGCTCTCGGTGGTAAGGTATCTTTGTTGCTGTGGATGAGGCCGCGGAGAGAGTGGAGGGGGGACTTTTGAGAGGGTTGTACTTGGCAACTTGGACCAAGATACTTGGTGGAAAGTGAGGGCTGGCAGAGGCGAGCATGTCACTGGCCTGCGCATCACGTCAATGCCCGAACTCTAAACAACATTACGGGGTGCGTGATGGGCCCCCTTTTTTGCTTCTTCACAAGCTGCCACTGCACTGCTGCCAGGGCGTGCGTTGCGTGTGGTGACGGGTTGAAGGATGACGGGTGACCCTACCGGACGATTCTGCTACCTGCCTGCCTACGTTAGTGACGGGCACCTAGCTCAACGCCTCAGAAGGAACACGCCAGCAAGAAGAAACAGCCCGACTACGGACCCTTCCTTGTAGCTGCTACTTACCTTACCTAGGTACGAAAAATAAAACACTACAGATAGACAGGAAGGAGTGACAAGCGCGACCTGACAGATCAAAGCTCCTCCTGACTGGAATAATAGCTCGCTCGTGTCCCCCCTTCCTGCCCACTTGGATCACTTCACTTCCCTCTCCTGCCGAATGCTCTCTGCGACAATCTTTCCGTCTCTCCAACGCATACACAAGCATCTATCTCGTGCATGTCTTGCTTAGAACAAACAGCCAAGCGACCGCACCCGTGACCTCGCCTGCTATTTTCATCCACTCACCCTGGAGAGGAACAGCAAGAGACCACCACCTCGACCCGTCCAGTCTCCAGACCAGCAGCAAGGCACGGCACCACTCGAGAACCACAAGTCACCAGTCTAGGCCTGGGCCGCCCATCAACGACCCAGAACCAGACAGACCTGGACCGGCCAACCCACACGGCACGCTCGCTGCAAGCAGGGGCACGCAACACCAACCGCCAATCTGCTTGCGAGTCGCTTCCACTGTTGCGTCACCCGCGTCTCCAGCTTCGTCAGTCAGCACACAGGACCACACGACACCCGCACTGAAGACACAGCAGTCGCTGCTGCTGCTTTTCAGGGGACCTGCAACAGCAGCGCGAATTTTCCACTCTTCGGCATCCCGTCCATCGTCCATCGTACCTCACTGCTGCCGCCCTGCCATATCTTCGTCGGCCCCTCATTCCTCGCCTCACTCAAGACCCAAAGACCGGGTCAATCTTTTTTCTTCTCTCTGTCCTCTACGATTTACGACGGACAAGCTAGCCACTGCGATTCCCGACCGACCGTCCCATCAGAGACAATTAGACAGAGACGGAACACACCAAAACCGGCACCGCCAAAAAGTGACACCTGACTTGGTCTCTCCTCTCTTCACACGTTCAAGAACCAACGAACGCCCGTGTAAATCATCCCATTCTCGATCGGCTAGTCCCCTTCCAATTCCAAGCCTGCACGCAGGGGAGCTGCGCCCATTGCAGCAGGCCATACGAAGACATCCAGTCGCGGCCTTTTCCTGTCGTCGTCCTCGTCCTTCTTTACCCTTCTGGTATGTGCATCTCGATAATATCACCCGCCCCCGTTCTGAAGCGTGTCAAAAGTATCAAGTGTCGGATCTATGGCTAGGGAGGGATCTCTGCCGCTGGACTTGCACGCTGATGCTGATGCCCGCTCCTGCGACAATCACCGCACTTGTACACACCCCCAAGTCGAACCCCTTCCACTTTCCCCTTCCCTTGCTGTGACCCAAAAAGGGCGAATCGCGGGAATCGACGTCAGGGTCACAGGGTCACCAAGCCAATCTATTGTCCCCCCACCACCTGTTTTCCTGTCCCGTCCCAGAATCCGTTCCTGCTCCCCCTCTCCTCCCCGGCCTACATAATAACGTCAAAACGTCAGGGTCCCTGCTTGGAACATTCTCCATAAACCTTGGTCACTCCCGCCAGTGATTTACATTTGCGCCTTATCAGCAAACCCAACTACAAGACATTGAACTTCCAACAATCACCACCACCTCTGCAGCAACAAATCTATCGCCAAAAATCAACCACTCTTCACGATGAGTCTAGTGGAACCAGCTCCGGTCACTGCTGCCGCCGCGGGAGCTAGCATCTCCCCCCAGAACCCCATCGCCGCCGCCGCTGTCGACACATTAGGTGGTGATGCGACACCGCGCCCCGCGAGCCACAACGAGCCAGCATCCGATGCCTCCAAAAAGGATGTGAAGAGCAAGGTGAAGGGACTCTTTGGAATCGGCAAGAAGAAGGAGGACTCGAACGCCTCCAACAAGTCGTCATCCGCCAAGCCTTCTGCCTCGACCGTCACCAGCAATCCTTCCTTGTCAAGGGATCCCTCCAGAGCGTCTGCCAGGTCAACCACCGTGCACCCTTCGTCGCCAGGCCGTGGCATCTACAGCTCCCCACGCCTGCCATCACCAGCGGGCTCTCAGATCTTCGAGCGCGACGTCGACAACATGTCAATCAAGCCGCAATCGCCCGCCATCCCGTCGCACATCCAGACAGAGAACCACATCCCGCCGGTTCTCGATGCATCCTCGGAAGCCATCACGGACGACCACCTCGACCCGGACAGCGTCGAAATCGTCACCCACGCTCAGCACCAGCCCGCAGCTGCCGCCGTCACGGGCGCCAACGGCGGCACCCCGCACGCCTCCGACTCAATGGCCGCATCCTGGACGGAAGAATTGCGCGCATTTGCCGACCGCGATGACGCATCGAACTACAACTCGCTCGAGAACGCCGACGTTCGCCGTCTCAGCTTCATTTCCTTTGCCGATGTCGTGCAAGCCGAGCAGGGCGGACATGCAGGTGCTGCAGGCTCTCGGGAGTCGATCCATGTCGCAGGTCTGACCTCGCTGTCATCAGTCAACGCCCGGTCGCCGTCTCCCATCCGCTCTCCTGTCTCGTCGCAGCCGGCGACCTCCCCGCCGACAAGCAACCCCGGGTCCATCAAGGGACTGGAAATGTCCCCGGCGCGCAAGCCCGTTGGAAGCCCCATCTCGTCGCATCACAACCTGAACATGAGCGGCGACCTCAACATTGAGACCATGTCGCAGGTGCTCAGACACACGGGAAGCACGGATCTAAGCGGGGTCCGCAGCTCGCCCACGAGCCCGATTGAGGGGCCGTCACGTTAAAAAGAACGCATTTATCGACGAAGGGAAAACAAAAGACGACGAAGCGCTGCAAAACACTACAAATTTACTGGTACGGAGTCGGAGGCAAACGGAGAAACCATTGATACCAAAGTGGAAGTTCTTTCCTGCAATTACTTTTTTCTCGCTTTCACGCAAACGCTTCTTTTCTTCCTACACAAGCGAGCAGCCATATCATCCGGGGCGGCTGTCTCATTGAACTTTTTGGGGGATGGGGGGACACTGTCAAATTGCTGCTTTTTTATTTCCCGACTTATTCACTTCGTTTCAAATTCGTCCAAGGAAACTATATGGAGTTGCGGTAAAGAGGGAATTCAACTCTGTCGCTCAAAATGTGATGGGAAAGGGTGTAGTTCGGACAGTTTTTGGGAGGTGGAAATATTTCTGATCCTTCAGCGCTTGGATTCACGTAGTATGGGAATTTTCATGTGGCCTCCCTTGACGAAAGCAATGCAAAGCTCAAGATTGTTTGAAGCGAACTCGAACTATTTCCCGTTTTTCTAGATCCGTGCTTGCTCAAAAATGGATTTCTGGAAATGTGACTTTGATCTCGTGAGGCGCGGGGTTTATTGGCTGGTCTAGCATGTGAAAGACGCTTCTAGCGCTTGCCCAGATTCTTGCATGAGTGACGTGGGACGGCGCGGCGCGGCCTCTTTTCGTTTGACATGTCAGTCTAGGGGGGCGGTCTCTAGGTAACTGATCATTTGCGCGCGTTAGTCGAGATGGTTATCGATGGAACTGTGGGCAATAGCGGCGGCTTATTTTTATCCGATGAGAGCGCCGCGGTGGCTGGGTTCTTGAGATTGCAAATGTTCTAGAGGGCGCCTTGTTTTCCTGTGCCAGAGGGGCTACTTTTCTTGTGGTTATAGGCTACCTCGTGGTCATCGTCGCGATTATCGAGTACACAGTTTTGGCTGCGCAGACACAGGAAAATTAGGCGGTCTCTATGGCCAATCAATTGTGAAGGCTTCTGCAATGGTTTGATTTATTGGATTCCGTTGATCAGGATGATACACGAAGGGAACGTGTGTCCGATGGGGAGTAGTTGTGGCCATCCAGATGTGATATTCAATTTGTACCTTTTAAACATCATTGCACCGCGAACCCTTGCCATGCCCGACGTGAACCATCCATATGCCACAGCCAACATGAAAGAGACTACCGGTCGTAACTCCGGCTTTTGGGCATCTTCTTCTCCTCCAACGCCTCGACGTCTCCCTTTTTGTAGAAGTGCGGTGCCAGCCCCGCGAGCCACTTGGCCTCGATGGGCATGCAGCTGCGCATGTACTCCTTGGTGGTCTGCACGAGCTCGAAGTACACGAGCATGCGGATGGGCGGGTCGACGCCCATGAGGACGGAGGACGGGTGCACGTAGACGGTGGCGTTCTTCTTGACGGTGCGGTACGAGTCGCCGGAGCGCTGGAGGCGGGCGGCGTTGGGGAAGAAGCCCGCGGTGAGGGCGCGCTTGATGGGTGTCAGGTTGGAGGAGCCGCAGGTGGAGGGGGAGACCTCGACGCGCTCGCAGAGCTTGGCGAGCTGGTCGCGCACGTCGCGGGCGCGGGTGAGGGAGCGCTGCTGGAGGAAGTTCTCGCGGGACCAGATGGGGGAGAAGTCTGCGTCGACCCACTGGTTCCAGATGTTGAGGAGGGTGAGGTGGTCGCCGCCGTCCTTGATTGTGAAGCGGGCGCGGGCGGAGTCGGCGTGGATCTTCTTGTCCTTGGGGCGGAAGAAGAGGGCGGACGCCTCGGAGAGCATGGAGACGACGGAGAGGACCTCCTCGACGCACCCTTCCTTGTCGGCGGCGAGAACGGCCTTGGCGAGCATGGGGTCCGTGGGGAACTCGGCCATCTGGCGGCCCATCTTGGTGAGCTCGCCCTTGTGGTTGAGGGCCTGGAGGGCGAAGAGGTTGTTGAGGGCGCCGATGAGGGCCTCGGTTGGGGGCGGGTCCATGAACTCGAAGTCGAGCAGCTCGTTGATGCCGAGGGATTTCAGCTGGAGGACGACACCGTTCAGGTTCGTGCGCTGGATCTCGGGCATTGGCGACTCGTCCATCTCGTTCATGTAGGCGAACTTTGTGTAGAGGCGGAAGCACTTGCCGGGGCCGACACGGCCTGCGCGGCCGGAGCGCTGGTTTGCGGAGGCACGGGAGCACGGCGTCACGACGAGGTTCTCCATGCCGGTGGCCGGGTTGTAGACGTTTTCCTTGACGAAGCCCGGGTCGATGACGTAGACGATGCCGTCGATTGTCAGCGAGGTTTCGGCAATGTTCGTGGCGAGAACCACCTTGCGCGCGCCCTCGGGTGTTGGTTCGAAGATTTTGGCTTGCAGCTCGGAGGGGAGGTTGGCGTAGATGGGGCAGATGACGAGCTCCTTGATGCGGGAGCCCAGCTTCTTCGCTGTGTCGGCGATCTGCTGCTCGGCTGCGTCGATTTCGTCTTGGCCCGTGAGGAAGACGAGGATGTCGCCTTTTCCTTGTGTGGTGTGGATCTGGAAGACTGTGGTGATGGCTGCTGCGAGGTAGTTTGCTTCAGGGGCGGGGGTGTAGTAGATGTCGACGGGGTACCGTCTGCCGGGAATGTTGTAGATGGGCGCGTCATCAAAATACGCCGCAAATTTCTCGGCGTTCATCGTGGCGGATGAGATGAGGAGTTTGAGGTCGGGTCGTTCCCTCGCCAGGTCCTTGACCAGAGCCAGTAGAATATCGGTGTGTACCGTTCTCTCATGGGCTTCGTCAATCATGATGGCGGAGTATCCGGCGAGATCAGGCTCAGTCATAAACTCTCTTAGCAACATGCCGTCGGTCATGTACTTGAGAATGGTCTTGTCGCTGGTGTTGTCCTCGAAACGGATCGAGTATCCTACTTCCTGGCCGACCTTGACGCCTACTTCATCCGCCACACGTGCTGCAACACTCATTGCTGCGACACGACGAGGCTGCGTACATCCGACCTTTAGCCCGTTTTTCGTATATCCTGCTTCGTGCAGGTATTGCGGCAATTGCGTTGTCTTTCCGGATCCCGTCTCTCCGACAATAACCAGAATCTGATACTTTTCCATCGCCGCGAGGAAGTCGTCTCGGTAGGCGTAAATCGGCAAGCTCTTCCTCGTCTCCTGGATCGAAAGCTGCTTTTTCTCGGCTGCCTCAATCTGTGCCGCAAGGAACTGCTGCTCCTTCGTCAGCTTGCCTTCTCCGGGCAAACTCGAACCCAAATTCCACTGGATATACTGCTCCTCATCCAACACATATGCATAGTCGTCATTCTCCCTCTCAGACCTCTGAATTTGCGCCTTGGCCTTGGTCGCCTGCTCCCTTTCCCACTCCTCGTGTTCCGTCACAAACTTCTCCTGGCCGTACTCGTCCTTCTCCACGTATCGCTTGTACATGGCATCCTCCTTCCTCTTTCTGTCGATCTTTCCCTTTTCCGTGATGTAGTCCTCGGGGATGTAATACCCGTCCTTGTGGTCATCAATCTTCAACCTCTCCTCCGCTAACCTCAAAATCTCGCGGTTCTTGGCGAACTCGGCCTTCTCCTTCTCCGACAGCCTCGCACCGCTCCTGAGCTCCGCCGTCTCTTCTGCGACCTGTTTCCGCAGCAGGGCGAGCTTCTCGGCCTCTCGCTTCCCGAGGTACGTCTGCCGACTCTTCATTCTCAAGTCCTCCATCGTCGCCTTCCGGTCCGCCGCGTCCGGCAGCCTCCTGCTATCCGAGCCCTTGCTCCTCTTATCGTCCTTGTCTTTCAGCCGCTTCGCAAATGCCTCACGCTCCTCGATATCCCGCTGCCGCTCCAGCTCCTCGCGCGCGCCGTCTGACAAGCCCTCATCCCGTTCGCGGTCTCGGTCGCGATCTCGGTCATCGTGGCTGAGCTTGACGCGCTTCGACGCCGACTCCTGAAACTCGGGCTCCTCGTCGACCTCTTCTTCCCCTTCCGATGGCGGCTCCTCGTCCGCCCACCTGTCGTCGTTGTCTGTGTCTCGTTTGCGATACTGTTTTGACGGGCGGGCCGGTGATCGTGAGCGAGAGCGGCGGCGGGACGTCCGTTCGTTCCGGTCGCGGTCTCTATCTCTTTCGCGTGACCGGTCACGGTGGCGCGACTTGTGCTTCTTCTTCTCCTTGACGACTTTCGTGGGGCCGACCTCGTCGTCCTCCATCGGGAGGAAGGCGTACTTCTTTGACGCCATCGTCGCGGACAATTTGCGGCCGACTTCTGGCCAGCGACTCAGTTACTTCGAGAGGTGTGTTTGTGTCTTGGAATCGGAAACTGCGCCGAGGATGGAGCGAAAATCAAATCGCAGATGACAAACAACCTAAGAAAGAAAAAGCATATGGGATTGGCCTCAACTTGGACGTTTCTGACGTCTCTGTCGCGCTGCGAGTCGTCTGAACTCAAAGTCTCCACATTTCCTCTGTGGGGCGGGCTGCATTGAGCAGCCATCCAATTAACAATCTCTGATAACATTTCTTATCGTACCTCCCAGCTCCCCCTTCTTAACACGTTGGAACTTGCATTTCAAGCAGCTGTTCAATTGCGCTCGCCTTCTTTGAGATCTTTCAGAGTCTTCCTTCTCCATAACCCACCTCCCCCCTTCCTCTCACACGACAAGTCCTTTTCTTCCTTTGAGTCACTCCTTCAAGGACTTGAAAAAATCGGGCGACCTCACTACCGCGAACGGTGTGATTTTTATTTCAAGCCATTACGCATTTTTAACCTTTCGGCCACTAATACGCCCTCGAAGTACACCCACGATGTTCCTCTTCCGAGGGGCAGCGCTGCTGCTGCTGCTCCTATGCATCGTCCAAGTCGCCCTCTGCGTCGAGGACTACTACAAGGTCCTGGGCATCAACAAGTCCGCCTCCGACCGCGAGATTAAATCCGCCTACCGCAAACTCAGCAAGAAATACCACCCCGATAAGAACCCGTACGCTACCTCCCTCTCCCCTGCTATTCCCAGAACCCACCCAAGCTAACCTCTCTTTCACAAATAGCGGCGACGACACCGCAAAGGACAAGTTCGTCGAAGTCTCAGAAGCCTACGAGGCCCTCATCGACCCGGAGACCCGCAAGATCTACGACCAGTACGGCCACGAGGGCCTCAAGCAGCAGCAGCAGGGCGGCGGCGGCTTCCACCGCCACGACCCCTTCGACGTCTTCTCGCGCTTCTTCGGCGGCGGCGGCCACTTTGGCGGCCACGGCCAGCGCCGCGGTCAGGACGTCAACGTGCGCATCGGCATCGCCCTCCGCGACTTCTACAACGGCATCAACACCGAGTTCCAGTGGGACAAGCAGCACATCTGCGAGGACTGCGACGGCACCGGCTCCGCCGACGGCACCGTCGACACGTGCGGCGTCTGCGGCGGCCGCGGCGTGCGCATCGTCAAGCACCAGCTCGCGCCCGGCATGTACCAGCAGGTCCAGATGCAGTGCGACGCCTGCGGCGGCCGCGGCCAGAGTATCAAGCACAAGTGCCACACGTGCGGCGGCGCGCGCGTGGTGCGCAAGCCCACGACGGTGCAGCTCACGGTCGCCCGCGGCGCGGGCAGAGACAGCCAGATCGTGTACGAGAACGAGGCCGACGCGAGCCCGGATTATGTGGCCGGAAACCTGGTCGTCACGCTGGCGGAGAAGGAGCCCGAGCTGGGCACGGATAACCCCGACAAGGTCGACGGCACGTTCTTCAGACGCAAGGGGGATGACCTGTACTGGACCGAGGTGCTGTCGCTGCGCGAGGCGTGGATGGGAGACTGGACGCGCAACCTGACGCACCTCGACGGGCATGTGGTTAAGCTGGGAAGGGAGAGAGGCCAGGTTGTGCAGCCGGGACATGTGGAGACGGTGCAGGGCGAGGGCATGCCAAAGTTCCACGAGGACGGCGACAGCGTCTACCACAAGACGGAGTTTGGCAACCTGTTCGTGGACTACGTGGTAGTGCTGCCGGACCAGATGGAGAGCGGGATGGAGAAGGAGATGTGGAGCGTGTTCCAAAAGTGGCGCGGCAAGATTGCCGTCGACTTGCACAAGGACAGCGGAAGGCCGGAGAAGCCCCCTGTGCACGATGAGTTATGATGAGATGTAGATGATGTGTGTGTGTGATAGAACAATAGACGGCCGTAATGTCAAGAGTCCCTTATTTCCACAATGTTTGCCATTGAAAATGAATTGTCTTTTGGTATGTTGATTGAGACTGTTGGCCATTCAAAGATTTTGCCCATTCACGATGTTTGCTTATTCGAGGTGTTTGCTCATTCACATTGTTCGTCATTCAAGGGGCGTTTCAGGGATTCAAATAGTCCATTTGCTGTAATGTATCCATGTCTAACAACCGTCTCGTTCGTTAAGTGTTGAAGCAAAGTCATGAGTCGTTACATCGGCCATCATATCGTGTCTAGATCCAAACATATGAATGTCATACAAGGAAAAACAAGGGAAAAGTCGCAACGTCATGAGTCGTTATCCGCTCCTCCTCCTCCTTCTCCTTCGTCTTCGGTCGAGATCCTCATCTTCGCTCGCGTCGTCTTCTATCCTTCGCTGCCCTCCATGCTGCACCTCCTGCACAACGCCAACCATGTCCTTCAAGAGACTCTTCCAGCTGCCATGCCCGCTAATCATGCCTTCAATGTTGCTCGCGATCTTTTGAACTGAGTCGTCATCCGTGCCGCCGACGGCCCATGCGCCGCTCGTGTGCCAGCCGTTGCCGTTGCGGGGCCGCGATTCAAAGTTGCCTTGCCGCCATCTCATTGCGCCTGTGCTACCGTTCAGAGGACGTCCATGAGAGTCAAAGCGATCGGGAAGCACCTCTACTTCACTATCGGAGTCCATCACAGGGAATTCCATGCCACGCCTCTTCTGGCGGATGAGTGGATGATTGGCGGAGGGGTCCGACGAGGACCGTCGGCGGTTAAGAACAGGCCGGATGGTTGCTAATTGCTCCTCACTCAGAGAAGGTGGCTGCTTCTCCTTCTCCTCCTCTTCAGCCGCAGCCACTTCTTGTTCCTTACGATGCCGGTGCATGGTCTGTGACGATTTAGGAGACAAAGGGATGAAGGTGACTGATTTTGAAGCAGAGTGTGGACGCTTGACTGACTCTGCGCTGGATACAGAGGAAGATGACGGTGATGCAGACCGCGAGCGGGGCTGCGATTGAGAACGAGACCGAGAAAGGGCCTCAGGCGGTATGAACTTTTTAGCACGCTCTCGCCATTTTACACCATCTGTGATCTGTCAGTCCACGTCACAAGAGCACTAAACATACAAATGAGATAACGATCAGATCGACCCACCCTCAGGACCCAGAGAGACTGGCTGGGCATCTTGCGGTGAGGCGCTACGAGATATGTCTTCACTCACATGGTCAGGGCCGAACCTCGTTCCGGGCGGTGGGCCGCCTGCCGGAGGAGGACCTCCCGCGGGCGGAGGCGGAGGATATCCACTAGCGCCGCCCGTGGCCATAGGTGGAGACGGTCCCATCGGTGGCCCGTAATCTTGAGGGTACGGCGGGTATTGGTCCCGCAAGTTCGTTGTCGAAATGTTTGGGTGTTGAGTGAAGCCCGCAGCAGCACCAGTCGCAGTTGGGTAGTACGAGCCGCCCGACGCGTGTGGCGGCGACGGCGGACGGCTGTAGTCATCGTAATGCCCGGCTCGAGCATCATCTTCGTATCCTGTCTGCTTGTCAGTGACATTGGCCACCCACATGCGTTCAACTTCGAGACTCACGTCTGCGGTCCCGCTCGCGTTCCCTGTTTCGTGGCCGTTCTCCGCTGGAGGCACGGTCTCTTGAAACTCGGTCCCTTGAAGCCCGGTCCCGTGAATAAGCTCTGTCGCGCGAGATTGATCGATCACGGGAACGGGATCGTGCGCTCCTTTCCCTCGATCTCCTATCGTCCTCTTCCTTCTCCTTCTTTTTCTGATACTGCTTGATACCAATAGCAGCGGCCCCTGTCCCAACCGCTGCCGCCGCCATGTCCCTCAATCGACTCTTGCTTCTCTTCTGCGCCGGCTCGGGGTCATCGCGTCCATCCCGGTGTCGACGTCGTCGCCTCTCGTTCGCTGCAGACTCATACCCGTCATCCGGCGGGTAGGGCGGCTCGGACGGCAGCGGAGCTGTTCCGTACTCAACTAAGCCTAGCTCGGTATCAGCGTTGCGCGGCTCCGAGTATAGAGAGCGGGCCTGGGACCTGCTGCGCGACCGGCGACGTGAGCGCCGCCGCTCCCGCCGGAGATCCTCCTCATACTCCTCATCGCTCAGTTCGCGCTCAATCTCGCGCTCCTTCTTGTCCTTGCGATTCTTGTAGATCTTGCTGGCGACGCCTCCGGCTAAGCCGGCCGCTGCAATTTCTGCGCCGGTTCTCAGACGAGACTTGGACCGCGATCGGCTACGGGACTTCGACTTGGACTTATCACGGAAGTGCTTCACCAAACCGGCGGCGGCGGCAGTTGCGGCGGCAGCCTTGGCGACAGAACGGCTGCGGCTCTTGCGGCTGCGGCTACGGGATCGAGACACCGAGTAGCTAGAGACAGAGTAGCCTCTGCCACGGCTTCGGCCGCGGGTGGCCTCTTCCTTTTCAATCTTGTTGCTCTGCATGTACTTGGCGGCACCGGCTACCGCGAGAGCAGCAGCGGCGATGCCAAGACCAGTTTTGATCCTGGAGCTGCGGCTGCGTGATCTAGATCGAGATCCGTGGTGACGGTCATAGTAGTCATCCCCATAGTTTTCTTCGTACGCGCTGCGTGCACGCCGGATGATCTCAGTGCCCAGACCTCCGAGCGCGGCACCAGCGAGCACTTTGCTTCCACGATTGACGGGGAGCTCACCGTGGCTGTCTCTACGGCTTGCAGCGAGAGCAGCAATACCAGCTCCGGCAAGGGCACCCTCGGCAAGGTGGCGCTTGTGGTGGTGGTCGGAACTGTTGCTTCTCTCACGTCGAATGATGGTTTTCTTGTAGTGGTAGTCTTCCTCATCACTGGCGTAGCCACGTCCCCGGCGGTCGTAGTAGTACTCGCGATCGTCCCGGTGGCGGCCGACAGTCTTGGTCTCACGGCGGTAATAGTACTCATCCTCTCGGGGGTCACGGCGGACCATTGGTTGTTCGCGCTCTCTCAAGACGACGATATTGGGTTCTTGGCGGGGAAGAACAATAGGAGCTGGCGGAGGAGCCTCCTGGACAATGATCTGTTGGGGCTCAGGAGCCTTCTGTCGAATGATGACGGGCTGGGGGATAGGCGGGGGGCTGACGGGGGAGTAATATTCGGTCTCCTTACGGTACTTTTCGACCTCTGCGCCGCCATGATCGTCTCGATACTCCTCAATACGCTTCTCAACCTGAACATCGCCATCCTCACGACGCTCTACGCGCTTATCCACGACGACTTCGGTGTCGCCATGGTGATGATGGTGGTGGTGGTGGTGATCCCACGGGCGGTTGGAGCGGCGGTCCCAATCGCGATCACGCTCAACTTCGATGACGCTGCGGTTGTCGTCGAAGCGGCGCTCCCGCTCGTAGTCCTTCTCGTAGATGACGCTGCGAGAGTCGGTTCTGTAGGGATCGACCTCGCGCTCGCGCTCAATAACTTGACGTTCGACAACCTGGCTCCGGGAATCAAAGGCAGAGCGGGGGCGCTCGGCATAGGGAAATTCGCCGGAAGTACGCAGAGGGGGGGGATAGTTGGAATATCGTGATCGGCGATCGTCGTCGTCAAGCTCTACACGCTCGCGTTCGATCCTCTCAAGGGTTTCAACACGGCTAGGGGCGACTTTGTAACGGCGGACAGTTGTTCTCTTCTTGAATCCACCTTCATCGGATGAAGTTGAGTCGGCTCGGTCCCGGTAGACGCGGGTCGACTCTCTATAAACTCCAGCCATCGCTAAATGCGATGCGATGGACGAGAAATCGGAAGCTAGCGACGGTGGTTTCGGAAGACGGCAGGCGAGATCTAACGGCGAAACGGTTCGCTATGGGCGGTTGCAGGCGTGGTTGAACAAAGAATGTACGATGATGACGGAGGGGGTTGATGGGCTAGGCGATGTACATATGTAGTCGTGGCTCGCTGCTCTGTAGGCTCTTTATTTGGAGCAGGGTACGTAGCCGATCAATTTAATGGGATGGCTGGTGGGACACCAACGTATCCGGTTGGGTGAGTGCAAGCTGTCTGAACGAACAGTCGGCAGCTTTTTGGTGTGTGTGCGGTTCTGGGTGGAAATGGAGGGAAGTGCCCGGGAGAAGGAGAAAGAAACGATGATGGATGGTGTTCAAGAGCGAGAAAGAGGAGGGGGAGGGGGGAGGGAAGAGGGACGGACGGAAGCGAAGCGAAGAAGTGGAGGGAGGGGCAGAACACCAGGCGCAGCAGCGTGATGCCGGTCGAGTTGGGCTGAGATGGTGGACCTTGGACCTGGACCTGGACCTGGACTGCCCACGGCCTCCCGTCCAGCGTCCAGCGTGCGGCCCCTCCTTTTAGGGCCCTTCTCCTCGCTCTGCTCCCTCTCCACGAGTCCATCCCACCTCCACGTCCAGGGCAGTAGGAAGGTAGGTTCTCGGTGACGGGAACACCACCTCACTCACTCATGGACTCGGCTGTCTGAGGCACCCAGTGGAAGGCCCGGACCAGGGCTTCAAACACCAGGCCGGTGCCCTCCTTCCTTCCCTTCCTTCCCATCCCGCCTGTTCTCGCCGTCCGGCCAAGGTTTGTCCGTGGTCGATGCGACTAAAGGGCTGCATCTGGAAGGGTGTTCCATGTCGCTGCTGCTCCAACCACCTACAACCCATGTTCAACCGTGTTCTAGCTGGGCTATTTCCATCCACCCTTCACCCAACTCCAAACACTCGACCTCTTTTCTTGGTTCGCTCCGGCCTTTCTTTGCCAGCCAAAGTCGCATTTCTGCACTATTGCGTCGACTCCTTGCTTCAACAGACACGCTATTAACAGTGCCTACCCATGGCCTTCTAGCTCACGTAGCCTGCCTAGCCTGGCTGCTGACCGTCATTTATCATCTCCCTCCCGACAGCCTCGACGGAGGGTCGAATGCTCGCGAAGCAAAACCGTTACGTCATTTGTACTGACCAACCCGAATCCACCTTGGGAAGAAAAACCACCCAGCGCTAGTCCATGTCGTTCAACTGCCATCACCGAAACTGACCACGGGCGAGACATGCAAATAATACCTCTGTCGCCCATCCGTCAGCAACCTTCCCCAACAAAAAAGAACAGCAGCATCCCCGGCATCGAAAAGCACGGCCAAGGCAGCCTTGTGACCAGGCAGATTTGCTGCGGCACGCCATCCGATGCTGAGAGGGTGGGCGGTCCAGGGCAGTGACAGGCCGTGACACCCCGACGGGCCTTGTCATCCGCCCCCATCCCTGTCGCTCATGACAGCTGGTCAGAGTCTCAGAGAATCACCCCGCCATTGTGCTCGAGAGGCTGGCTATCCGTACTTCTTCAAACCGACTGAGTCGAGTCTTGACTCCATTCCTGGATCTTATTATGGTGGCTTTGGCCTGTGCTTATTTCTTCTGGAAAAGGCCAAGCTAACAATTTGACAGTTCAGACGGCTCCCGCGGCGGCACGCTTCAGAGATGCATCGCACTGTTTGAACCCTGGGAAGATGCGCCCCGCTCCGTCGCAGCTTGGTGTCGTCATGGTACAGAGGGGCACTCGCAGATGCGCCCAATAAAACCGCTTGCCTGCATGTCCAGATTCCGCCGCTGGAACCCCTCGGGAAGCGCGAAGAACACAGCTCCACCAAACCACCTGCTGCGGCTGCTGCGCTGTCCTCGTGGTCCATGGCGAAGGCACAGTTGCAGAGATGCAGATGGAAGACTATTCGAACTTACGTCCGACTTCAGAGTCATCGCATGTTGGGATGCGCCCTGTTCGTGTCGGCCACGACAGCCGCAGCCAACTTCCAACTTGCTCTGCGCGCTGGGTGGTTCTGGTTCCCCAAGATCTGCCAGGAATACCTCTCTTAATTGCCTGCATTAAGGACGGCTTTTCAAGGTTTGCTTACCATTCAGAAGAAGCGGCAACAACGCGTTGCCCACCCGTCTGGTTTTCCTGCACCGCATGCAGTACTTAGTACAGCCGGCACTTACCTGCGACCTGCAGCTTGGCCACCGTTGTCTGATTTGCCAGTTGCCGTCCACTGCTTCCAAAGATCCCGAGGCCTCACAGCCTCTGTGAGGCTCCAGTTGCCTGCGTCCGGTCTGCGCCGTGGCTTGAAACCGACGTTTTCTTCATGGGCCGACATCGTTCAGCTAATTATCCCAAGAAATCTGTCGCTGGACAGTACTTCTGTTGTATGAACAGGCTACTCTTTTCTCTGCTGGGGCTGGCTTGATAGTTATTCTTATTTAAAACAAGCGCCAGTTGCCATGCTGAGAGAGTCTGAAATTGAATGTTAATGTCTTATGGCCAGGGCCTTTTTGCAGGCCTAGCCTCTGAGGGTTACTTCAGCACTTGATTTCAGCCCTTAGGCATAATGACCCCGCACTTCTCATGACCCTTGTGCCTTTGGTCTGACCAAACCTCAGTTTGATTCCGACAATTCTCTACTTCGGTCTGTCTACTTTTGTCCACCAAGACCCCAAAGATGCGACTTGTCAACGTACATACACTTGTATTGGAAGAGTTCTTTGGCGAAGCAATTCCAAAGTATGCCATCCTTTCACACACTTGGGTAGATGGGCAAGAAGTCACGTTTCAGGAGTTCTTAAACAACAGAGTTCGCGACAAGTCAGGCTGGGCCAAGATAGGGAGAACCCTTTAATTGGCTCTTGAAGACAAGCTTGAGGATGTATGGATTGACACGTGCTGCATCGACAAGACTAGCAGTGCAGAGCTTACCGAAGCTATCAATTCTATGATGAGCTGGTCAAGCAATCACAAATGTGCCACACTTATCTTGCGGATATTCCATCTGGCATGGACCAGAAAGAGTAGGAAGATGCCCTTCACAATAGCCGATGGACTCGGCGAGCATCGCACAAATGATGAGTTGGGCGTCGAATAGACAAACGACCCGCGTGGAAGACATTACCTATTGTCTCCTAGGCATATTCAACATCAACATGCCACTACTCTACGGTGAAGGCCCCAGAGCATTTCTCCGTCTCCAAGAGCAGATTATGATGAATTCAGATGACCAGTCTATATTGGCCTGGAACTTTGAGGGATTCAAAACAGAACAAGCTGGTGGTAATGGCGACCACTGGCTTTGGATTACCACCGTAAACCCACATTTGCTGGACTTTAGGCGACGTCTCCGTACGCCTTCTCGACTTGCCAAAACATAGTACGAGTCAACATTGGCAAGCCGACCCTTCACTCACTCATCACAAATAAAGGGTTGAGATTGGAGCTACCACTCGGATCATCCCCAGACTGTCCGTGTGCGTTCCTGCAGTGCCAGGACAAGTACGCGCCGGCCAGCGTGGTGGCCCTGCCTCTGAGTTTGACGAGGGAAGGATTCTACGTGCGGGCTTTGCTTCCTCTGAAACTCGTCGACTATCAGCTTCTGGTGAAAACTCGGCCAACAGAACTCTACGCTCTCAAAAACGGGGAGTATATCATGCGGCAGGAGACGAACACAGGATACACCGTTACACTACGAGGTCTGCCCAAAGATTTTGAGGTCCTACACCGATGGAGTCAAAATAGCAGCTTAGGGCCATATTCACAAATCATTCTAGAGAACGACGATCCGGCCGGCAAGTCGACAGCAGGTGCCCTTCTGCTGGGCAGCCGCTTCTTCGGCACAACAAGACTTGTTCTCTTCGTCGTATTAAGAAGATTGCTCAAACTCGAGGAACGGGAAGTCGATCGTGGGTTGAAGGATCAGGCTTCAAGCCGTCTAGAGACCCAACGGCAGCGAGATATCAATGATAACAATGCCGAAGGTCTGCGCAGAATGTTGGGAATAGCAGATCAATTTAAGCAAAAGGTCTCCACGGCAGATGGCACTTACAACGTGAGGGCCGAAATCCAAGACTGCTTCAGGAAACCCATCATCTTCGTCGACATAAGTGTCAGGCCAAGGCGATTGAGTGGTATCAGAATCTTCTCACGGAACACTGCATTATTGTTCCAAAACCATACGCCAGGATACAGTAGCATAAACAAGGCCATACTACTCCTTATCCTTAGCCCACGCCTCTTTACTGAGATGGTCGAGATTTTAGCGCGCGAATTAACTGAAGCTGCGGCCAATCCCCAGTATATATTCCCTTTGATGACGAGTTACATGTTCCTCAGCGCTGGCGACTCTCCTCCTTTCCTAGCTTCAGCTGTAGAAAAAGCTCGCAAGGGGTCGTCTAGGACTTTCAACCACTAGGCAGTCACTAGCTTCCTCACATACTCCAGCTACAAGTTAATCAGATCAGATACAGTGCTAGAAAGATTCAAGAAGCTTCTTACGAACAAGAGGTAGCAGTTAGTTGAATCCTGTGTATGAATACGGCTCAATGCCGTGTTGCATATGGTGTTACACAGAGGATGACCCAGGGACGACAGTGAAAAACACCATCACAATCTTGTATTGTAGGCAAGCATTGAGTGCGCCGGCATCACTAAATTTCTCGTTGGAGGACAGCTTTCCTTCTGCCGCGTGTCCATTGACTTGTGAAAAAACCAAAACCGAAACAGCACATTGTTGTTGACAATGGCAATACTCTTTCCATCGTGTGCGCTTTTTATCGTCAGGCCTTCTGCTCATGCCGGGGGATAAGAGCCTGATGTTTTGGGGGGCTTCCAGCATACTTTGCCTCATCGGGCCAAATCAACAGTATGGGTGACATTGATTCTCAGATGATACTGAACCTCTGGGTTCAATGCTACGGTCATATTCTCAACGGAAAGCATATCGATGACCACAAACAGGTTGCTTCTTACAAACAGCGGCGGAGCCTCTCGATAGCCCCTATCAATCATCGCACATCCGACGGGAATACTGCGAAGACAGAGGGGCATGACTACGGCATGGTTACGACAGCCCACGACATACATGATGAGACGGCGACCGCGCTGTATGCTATTCCAGCCCTTAGGAACGCGTCGCAACTTACCGACACGCCCAAAACATTGCCTGAGGATCGATCGCCTGGACAAAAGAAAAAGAAAGCATCTTGCTTTTTAAAGCGGCCATTGTGTAAGTCGCAGTGCAGAGTCACACCACACCACAAGGCTTAGTTCACTTCACTTGTAGTTGCGAGGTAATCGACGTGCACAGGTAGGCCAAATCCACATGATGCGTTACGCACGTGCAAGTGTCATTACAATTCATTGACGCAAAGACAGCAAAAAGCAAAAGAGAAACTCCTCGACGGGGAATTGAACCCCGGTCCCCGGCGAATCGTGTGAATGACAAGCCGATATCCTCACCACTAGACTATCGAGGATAGTGGATCGCGTTCTGCGTTGACGAGTGGTGCGGAAGGAGGGCTCATGCGGGATCCGCATGTTGTTGTGGAGACATTGGTGGCCGAGCGCCGCGTGTAAGTGCGGATTAGCCAACCTCAATCGTCAACACAAGCTGCGCATAGCGTACTAGGTCTTCGCTAGGAATTCAACTTAATTAGGTTAGAAGACTTTGAAACAGTAATCTTCGTGAAGTTCACTGTTTTTAGACTCTTGAGAATATGCATTTCGAGCTCCGCTTCGTCAACTCCATGTTTCTCAGCTGAATAACAAGCTGCTGGACACTGAGGAGCAGCAAATTCCAGCACTTACGACTACCGTCTGAATTTTGAAGTCTTCCCATCTAGAGAATAGCAAGGGCGGGCAACTTCTCTACACTTGGCTCTCTCAGGTCTTCATCTATTCATCCTTGGTGAGCATCGAGGGCACGTCATGCTTTTTTTATTCGGCGACTAAGCCCAGTGCAGCCATCCAACAGAAGTCTGTACAAATTGAGGCAGTCAGTTCTTCTGAGATGAGACCCCCACCCACAATTGGATCAAACTTCTCGCAGAGTGGTATAGATATATTCAGTAGAGAGCCATCCACGCGAAGAAAACTATCATCTTGCCCAGTCATTAGGAGGATATGGTCCCTTAAACTAAAGTAAGTGATATCTGTCTTCCTTCAGTTCTGTCATGTTATTCATATTACATGTGATCAATCATGATGGCGACCGATGTCGCATCTCCAAGTGGAGGCCTGAAGTGCCTTTTGGAAAAGCAGTCAGTGGACGTCATGCTGTCAGCTTGAGTCTTTCAGAGAGAGACGATAAACGCAGCTTTTGTGACGTCTTACATACATAGTCCTGCTCTTGACAGCAAGATAATGGAACTTCCAGTCGATATGAATTGTTCCACGGCAATAAACAGAGAGAAACAGCAGTGCATGACGCCAACGCGCCACGAGGCATAATTTGCAGCCGCTGAAAAAGAGACAGAGGGTGTTAGTGAACGAAAAGGAGATTGTCTCGATTAAACACGACGCCAATGATTACGCTGAAAGAGAAGATGTGTTTGGAGAAAACAGAGCTGCTGCATTCCTTGTCTGCCTTCTCCAACCCCGCTGAGTTGCCTGCTTTATAGCACCATGTAAGAGCTCCCATACGATAGCGGCGACCTTTTTTTTCTTTCTTTTTCTTTCTTTTGGCTACTTCTGGTGCATCCAGCAGTTCATTACAGTTAAGTTTTACTCATGTGGTCTTCCAGTCCATGTCGCCAACAATGCATATACACGCAGTAAAGCCTGTGGTTAGCGGAACCCCTATCCTCGTACGTTCTACTTCTTTCGGTACCATTGGACGGGGCCAGGTCGGCGGTTTGCAGCCCGGGACTCGATTCAGTGGGGAAACACTTACAAATTAAGTCACCAAGTTGGGGGTATTTTGTTCATCACAACAAATCCTTTGTAGGGCGGAGATTCTTTGCAGGTGCGATTTAATAGAAGGATGATAAGCTCATGAGAACGACGTTGACTCAATCCTTCATACGCACATTCTTCTCTTGAACGATTGGGGCTAGGCCTGAAACTGTCTTTCGTCGTCGCCTGTTGTCGTTTGTTGTTGACGTAGTATGAGGTGTATCCGAACGATGTTGCTTCACCGTCAAATTTGGACTTATCAAGGTAAAATATGTGACCCGCGTTTAGTTCAGTTGGAATCGCAGGACATCCTTACCAAACTAAACATGTTGTCTGATTCGCTTCTGAAAAGAAAACCGCCTCGTCGGGGTTTGAATAGGCATCAATGCGGGCTAGGGGAGATTTCTCAAGCAGGAACGTTCTCAAGATATTTTGATCATGAAGACAAAGTCGGTCTTCAATACCTACGTGACTACACGTTACTTAGATAAGAGAATAGCAAGCGAGATTTGGGGTCTCGAATATGCCTGAGTTCCTTTTGAGCTCAGCCTCGAATCTCGATGAGAAGATAAATTCTGATTCAATACGCAATACTGGTGAGAGTATCTGCGCAGTTTCAGACATGCCGCATCACGGTGTTGCTTCACCGACGACCCTCTTTTTCCAGCCAAGCGCCCATGGACACACATTGGTGGCTCATGCAACGCAGCCACAGTACACTCAAATGTCTAAGACTGCAACCGTTCCGAAAGCAAACCTGAATCCCACACATCTGGGCAAAACCCTTCCCAAGCTCTTCCCAAGCTCTTCCCAAGCTCTCATACAAGATGCTGGCTATATGGATCGAAGACGTTTCTGTCACTCCAACGTGAAGTCGATACAGCGTCAAAAGGTTCCGAACGCTGTGCTGCCAAGCCCACTGACTTTCTCGCGCTCCTCTTTCGAATCATCATGAGAAAACACTAGCTTCAGGTGGACCGCAGAATTCGGCAGTTTCATGTTAAAGTCGTTGACAAGCATTGATATGCTTGTTATGCTTAGCCTGCGATGAGCGATATACGTCAACCCCCCTGTTTAGGCAAGCTCGGTGTGGTTGACGCAGGACCCCGAGATACATGTCAGGCGGGGGACCACCCACATACCGAAACGGCTAGAAACTACGACGGTGGTGATTCATGATTTAGTTATTGACCATGTCGCGATTTGTCTTGTGACTAAGGGTGGCTGCGAAGCGGAACGTCTCTGCAACTACGCTTGCGGCTCGTTGGCAGCAGGTTGGGTTTCCAGAGTTCAACGTAGATTGAAAGTATCTTGAACAGCAAACCGTTGACACTGATCCGCAACGCTCTATGGAAGAATAGCAGTGCCAGCTGCAGCAATAGCGAAGGAGAGCAAGGACTACGGTGAGACCGAAGACAACGGAGACGACGGCAACGATGGGGACAACGGCGACAGCAGGGGCAACAAGGAAGGCGAGGCTAGCAAGGAAGACGGTGACACTTGACTCAAGCGGAAGAGGGTGGCTGACACTGAATAAGAAATAACGCACCAGAATGCTCGCCTCAGGTGTAAGAACTCCTGATGAGATGAGCCATTTCGAGAACGTGTGGCTTGTATCAGTTCGAACTGACTGAGGTGGCACCGCAGTTCTTCAGTACCGGCCATGTGAAATGATGATCACGACATCAACCCTCCAACATGACGTATCCAGTGGGACGGGAAGGGGAGTAGCGATGTAGGGAGAGGCAGGCTGTGTGGGCAAACCCCGGAAAACCCCCTCATACGAAGAAGAAAACTGTTCCAGACCGGATCGTCGGAGGGCGCAGCGGCGACCCCAGCTCTTAGTTTATGCTCTATCACTAAACTCCCCGAGCGCTGGCAGCAGGGCAGGGCACCTTCCAGCCAGAGGAAGGGAGCGTCCTCAAATCAAAGTGTGGCTTTCATGAAGGGCTGATTGATGGCTCCAAGGGCGTCTTGAGGGGGGCGTTCGTTCGGTCCCGCGGTCTGGACGAATCTCCCGCGCTGCTAAATCTGACGGTGGCGGTTGCATGACGTTTGGGCTAGGCGCCGCCGTCTCGTTTCCACAAACAGGCTGGAACAAAACGGCCTGTGGTGGATGGAAGTGAAGGAAGGGGATTTGGTGCCTTCGAGGCGGTGCTGGCTCTTCCGTTGCACCATGAGCCCAACCAACACCGTGGGACCCTGCAGCTCGCAGCCCGCTAACACTATTGCCACCAGGGTATTTGCAGGTTCAGATGAAGCAGAGTTTGTCTGAAGATCCAGTGTAGTTCATCCAAGCT